AAAAGACCTAAACCTCCAGTCCTTTTATATGGCCTGAATCCATTCATGAGGACAGAGCCCTCATAACTGAATCACTTCCCCAAAAGGCCCCACCTCTTAATAACACCAAAATGGGGATTAAGTTTCTACATGAATTTTGGAGGGCATGTGATAATTCAAAACAGAGCAAAGTTTCAGTAATTTTCCCAAAGCTCCAAGGCAAGAAGTAGGCCTAAGCTCAAATCCAGACTCACTGATTTCAAAGTCACCAGCTACTCAACCCCTTTATTGGTATCTGTTGAATCAATGGAGGTAGGTAGTAGCCTGCGTGTGCTGCTGGATAACACAGATACAGGGTATGAGGAACTTTCCATTAATTTCTTCTTCTGCCTTCTTGAGTTTTCTTCCTCTGTCCCTGTGTCAAGGCTGCTATTTTGCTAGGACAAATTCTGAAGTAACACTCATTTTATTCCTTTATATCCATTATAGATATAAGTGTCAATATGGAACTTTAACCGATTACCATATGAACACAGGAATGCTATAACTAGATATCTCTTTTGCCTTTTTTTTTTTTTTTTTTGTCTTTTTCCGTGTCTGGCAACGGAACACAACCCTCAGTGTCGCCCCCGTACCGGACCGGGACCGGCAACGGGATCGCAACCCTCGGTGTTGCCCCCGCGCCTTGCTCAGCCAGTGAGCGGGAACCGGTCTGTATGTGGGATCTGAACCCTCGGGCGGGAGCGCCGCCGCACTTCCCAAGCGGCGCACTATCCAGTGCGCCACCGGACCGGCCCTCTTTTGCCTGTTTTTGACAACTTTATGGGCTTATGAGCTGTAAAGGGCACTTTTTTTAGATATATTTAATTAGCAATTTGTTTACCAAAGCAGCTTATCTTTGTGAATTAGAAAGATTATATATCAGAGTTTAATACAGACAAGAAAATGTATTGTGAATACATATAAAAGTATTCAAAATATCCTGTAATCATACAGTAACACTTGGCCAAAGCAGGAATATTCCATGGAACTACACTTCTTTCTTATTTGAATCTTTTAATTCTGGAATTACTTTTATTCAGAAATAATTTTGATCCTACAGCAAGAATTCATTAAGATACTATACTCCTTTGTAAGGATTTATTATTAGGTTGAGCCATTTTAAATGCTGCTATTCTACCTTTTTTTGGTGGATAAAAATTGTATTTTCATGTACAGTCAAGCTAGGAATCTATAATTAACAATAATTTACTGCATATTATCAAATGGCAAGAAGAGAGATCAAATCATCACAAAGAAATGATTAAGTTTTGTAATGATAACTATGCTAATTACCCTGATTTGATCATCACACATTGTATATGTGTATTGAAATATAACTCTACCCCACAAATGTGTATAATCAATACATTTCAATAAAAAATAAAAATAAATAAAAATGGTATTTTCATATGGTTCAACCTAATAGTTGCTTTAGACAAAGAATTAAAGTAAAATGTTGCTAACATTTCTTTTTTAATTAAAGATTTGAATCTAAGAGTTGCTGTGTAAGCTGATGGGTAACATATGATTAACTGCTTTACTTGGCTAGCACGATGCTTTGAACTGATAAGTTAAAGGAATGACATGTCCCAGGCCACACCAGGAAAACACACAAGCAGCCAAAGACCTTCATCTGTTGCTGCAGCAGTGCCCTGTCAGCAGTTCCCTGTCAGACAAGGATGAAGAAACGTGAGCATGTCCTATAAGAGTGACAGAATAGGTTGTAAACTTGGCAGCGAACTTTGAACTTGCTAAAGGTCAAAACCAGAACTTGGCTCTCCCTTCTCCCAAAACTCACTTGCATTTAGATGTTTCAAAACTGCCTTCCAATGTGCTCTGCTTATCAAATGGAGGCAAAAAATCAAGAACATTTGTTCTCCACTTGCTCCAATTTAGCCATGCTGCTCTGGGACTGGGAGCGGCTATGTGGAAATCGGGTTGCAGGGTTATTGGAAAGCAGCTGAGTGGGCCCAGCACAAGCCAAGAGAGGCGTGGCCTTGCAAAGATGTCCTGGATTATGGCAAGAGTGTGGTATCAACGTCACATCAGCAGATGGATCCAATTCACAGGGGCCATCATGAGCAGCAGGGAGCTGAAACGTGGTAGAGATGATGGGTTTAGAAAAACTGTGAGCTGAGGACAGGACGAAGCCAGCGTCTTCTGAGGAGAGAGGAGAGGTAAATGCTTGCTCAGTGAGGAAGCCACCATCAGTGTACAGAGCAGCCCGCTGGGCATAGGCGATGGCAAGGGGATTGTGCCTCGACTGTTTTAACATTCCAGATGTGTGTTGCCCCCCCCATACTGGGAAATACCTTTAAGTAAGATAGCATTTAAATGAGATAACACTATACATGAGCTATTACAAATATGCAGTTAATTCTCTTCTTACAAAATCAAGAGTCAGTGATGGATGTTCTGTGTTGATATGTCTGTTTTATTATGCATGAGGGCGCTTCAGAAAGTTCATGGAAAAATAGAATATGTATGTGTTATCTGTATATACATGTAGTTCTATCTAGACATCTATATAAGCAGACAGTAAATATCAGGACTATGAATGTCTATAACCATTTATATCTCGAATTATACTAATTTGGGGATGTGTTTCATGTTTGCTTTAGACTAATAGCTCTTGATAGTAGGGGTACATCTCCTCAATAGTATTTTTCAAATAATACTTGCTTTATCACTATTTAATGTATGAAAGTATGATTGAGTGGATACAAACAATTGAGGGATTTAGTGAATAAATCCAGGTTTGTGGTTATCGTCCCCAGTACAAGTTTCAAATAATATTTTTTGTGGTGCAAGGCTTTAATTCTTGTTTGAAGGTTGTCAAGTCTAAGGACTGATTTTACACAGTCGGTATATTTCTGCTAACAAACATGAATGTCCTACTCACTTTCAGGATTGAAAAGCAGGACTGATTTGAAAATGAAAAACAGGTTCTTAAAACTTCTTTAACCTGAACAAACTAGGTTTAAACAAAATTAATAAAGTAATAAAGTAAAATGTAGCAATTTTATCTATTGAAACAGAAGAACTGAAGAAATAAAATCTTAAGAACATCTTTTGAAGGAACATTTCCCATAAAAAAAATTACCTTCCTATAGGCTGTTAAAAAGAAGGTGCTGCAGGCTGCCCAGTCTCCAACAGAGTAAGAACTGCAGTTATAGGAATGTCACATTGTGGCTGTGTGATTGTTTGTGCAGATATGGAGAAAGTAAAGGATTTAGAAAAAGACTTTAGGGCCGGCCCGGTGGCGCACTGCTACAGTGCGCCGCTTGGGAGCGCAGCAGCGCTCTCGCCAAGGGTTTGGATCCCACATACAGACCAGTTCCCGCTCACTGGCTGAGCGAGGTGCGGGTGCAACACTGAGGGTTGCGATCCCGTTGCCGGTCCTGGTCTGGTACGGGCGCGACACTGAGGGTTGTGATCCGTTGCCGGACACGAAAAAAGACAAAAAGGAAAAAAAAAAAAAAAAAAAGAAAAAGACTTTAAGCTCGTTGTCATCAGTGGACGGGCTCTGGGATTGGGGAAGAGAAATCATGTTGGCTTGATTGTGCTTGTAGGATGATATCCTATGGCAGTCAGTAAGAATCATGTGTGTTCGTGCACAAACAAACAAAATAAGGCTCAGTCTCCAAAGATTACATGGCCTAGCTGAGTATACCACAGAGACAGGCATGGAAAGATAGTTATCAACATAAGTCAGTGAATGACAAGACCCAAATGAATAGTGTGGGCCCGAAAGCCAGAGGGGGCGGAATTGGTGTCTTCATGAAAGAGGTGACAGCTGGAGAAGGACTTGCAGACATTACAGAGAAGTGGCTTAGGACGAGAAACAGAGGCAGAAAAGCCCAGAAGCTCCTGGGTTCAGCAGGCAGATCAGTGTGACTAGATGAGACGGCTCTTGCCGGGAGAGAGTAGACATGAGCCTGGGAAGAGTGTCTCCTATCATTGCAGAGGGCCATGAATGCCAGTCTGAGGAGTTTGAATCTTCCCGTAGGCAATGGGGAAACACTGTAAGTTTCTGAGGAAGAGATCGCCAGGATAAAAGTGGCATTTTAGAAAAATCATTCCAGTGATGATGCAGAGGAGGAATTGGAATGGGAGAACCCGATGGCAGGAATACCTAGAAGAAAAGATTTCCCAGGAAGAACAGGGTCAATTAGGTAGGGGTGGTGGGAATCAAGAGGCAGACATAAAAATGATTCTCAGACTTTGAATTTGGGTCACCAGTAGCAGAAGATAGACCTATACAAATTCTACCAAGTTCAAGGAAAAGCAGTGAGAGAAACCAAGATCCCTGAACTGGGCGTTCAGCATGTCTTAAAAGTCTCTGAGGAGCAAGTGGGGTTAGATGGACCTCAAGGCCTCAGAAAAGGGAGATCTAGCCTGAGCTGTCCACTCAGGCTGCTGTAGTCACTGGCCACATGGCCACATGTAGCTATTGACTTGAAACATGCCCACTCAAATTAGGATAAGCTGGTAGTATATACTACTTGCCAGATTTTAAAGAGTTAGTATTAAAAAAAAGAGTGTGGAAAATCTCATTAATATCATTAAATATTGATTACATTTTGAAATGATAATATTTTGAGTATATTGAACTTAATAAAATATGCCAAGAAAATTAATTTTAGCTTAATTTTTTTTTCAAATATGGCTACTAAAAAATGTACTCACATTATATTTTTATTGGACATTGCTGACCTAGACCTTCACAGTGAATCTTGCTAACATAGCACTAATACAGCACAGTGAAACACACATACTCACCCAGCCTTTATAGTTAAGTGCTTTTTTTTTTTTAACTTCATCCATCCAGTCTGAAATCTCTCGAAATGTGTCTTGCATTTTGTGAACATATTTCCGCATTTTGGGAGCAGGGTATATTGTAGAGATCCGTTTGTTTATTTTATCCAAAACTTAGGTTATTCCATCTTACTGAACATTTGGCTCTTTTTTTCAACCAGCAGATGATGCTGCAGCTGACAGTCGCAGAACTTATACTCTAAATGATTACTTAAAAAATACTCTTAGAACGAAGGTCTACTCCTTGCGGTGGGTTTCAGGTAAGGAAATTTTTTTTAGGGGGGGCACAGTTTTATGCTTACATTCGTTCTAGTTAGGGTTGGGTTGTGGGGCACTCTTATGGCAATGAGAAGATATAATTCTTATTTTTTGAGAACTCTATGGAAGGGAATTTTTTTCTACTTAAGTGTGCGAAAGGAGAGAAGACAGGAAAAACCTAAGTATTTCTCTGGTAGGAAAAGTTAAATGTGAATTGAAACCTTGACAGTAGTGATGGAAAAATGAAAGAATACTAGTGTAATATTCATCATTCATGTTTTCCAACTTAGAAATGCTTATTTAGCACTTGTGTGAACTTAAATCTTAAATTTTATTACATAATTTTTAGCTTATGAAGATGTTTAATAGCAGCTTGAAATATTGATCTGGCTGTTTTTTCTCTTTAGATTATGAATATCTCTACAAACAAGAAAATAATCTCTTGCTATTCAATGCTGAATATGGAAACAGCTCCATTTTCTTGGAGAACAGTACATTTGTATGTTTAATCGCATAATTAATTCACACATGAAATTCTGGGGAGTTTTTTCATTACCTTTCAAGTCATGAGTACTGTCATTTCTTATCCTGTTGGACTCTCTCTGCAGCATATGGCACAGTGGATCTTTCTCTCCTTCTTGAAACGCTCCCTGCCTTGGCTACTTTTTAGTCTTCTTTGACGATTCCTCCTCCTCTGCCCAATTTTTAATGTAAGTGCTCCACAGGGCTCTGACTTCCTGTGGGGGCCTCTCCTCCTTTTGCATGTTCTCCTTAGGGGAATTTCATGCACTTCCACAGTATCAGCACTCTCCTTTCTGGCCTTGATTCTCATAGGCAAACACTAACTTCCTCTCAAGATCCAAACTTCGGTTTCCAATAACTTGCTGGCTCCTGCATGTGGACGGCCTCCAGGCATTTTAAACTCCATATACCAAGCTAAACTAGTGATCTCCCCTTCATTGTCCTAGCAAAGTAAATACATCTAATTCCTCTTCCCCGGTTTCCAGTCTTGGTAAATAGTCACTTAATTCTCCTCCAACTCTTTTAAGCTGGAAACCTCAGAATCATCCTTGATTCCTGTCACCTGAGCCAACCCTATCCATGCCTGCTCTGCATGTCAAGTGTCTCGCAGATTTCCATCTCTACTTGATAGTTCTGTTTAATCTCGTGGTAGTGAGTGCTCTAACTTACTTTCCTACTCCTTTCTGTAGACCATATCACTGCATTGCCCAAATCCAGGCTGATACAAGCCCTGTCCTCTCCCCTCTCAGTTCAGCCCCTGTATCACCAACGTGCTTTTGTTAAAAAATAGACATGATCCTCTCACTTCCACATACAAAAGATAAGTCGTAGTTCCACGTCGTATACTCAGGTCCCAGTTCTTTTTCTAATTTGATGTCCTCTCCCCTTCCACCATGTCTGACACACACTATGCTGTGTTCAGGTCACACCTAACCCTTAAACCTTCTCTAACCATGCATGCCCTTTCCCACACCTGGGTTTTTGCTCATGCTGTTCCCCCTGTTGAGAAAGTTCTCTCTCTGTTCCTGATCCCCACCCTTACAGCCATTGATCTGCCCGTCCCTGGCTCTCTAACACTGTTCAAAGCACAACTGGCTACGATCATTTGTGTGGTGAATGTGCCATCCTTCCCAGACTGGGCACTCCCAAGTCATGAGCCACATGTCTAGAACAGTACTCTGTATGCAGTAAGTGCCCAATGATAGCAGTTAAATTGCATCGTTCACTTTTTTTCTTTTTTCTTCTTGATGGACAGGAGGAGTTTGGACATACTATAAATGATTATTCATTATCTCCCGATGGACAGTTTCTTCTCCTAGAATACAACTATGTAAAGGTAAAAGAAATACTTCCTTACTGTGGCACTTAAAGCATCCTAGAGTATGTTATTTCATAACTGATTTCATGTGTATGGATATTTAAAATTGACATCTAAGTAATATAATAAGCACTAAAAACTCATTAGTTCAGAATCAAAAAGTCATTCTCATTCATAAAAGACAAGTCCAACAAATTTTTTAAAAGAAATTAATTTTCAGTGCTTTCAAGTACTAAAAAGCATAATTAATATTATTATATCACAGATACTAACAATGTAAATTAATAAAAATTTATAATAGGCATTTATCATCTAATTTAAAAGTAAATTTACATGTCTGACTTGTACATCTGGAGATATAATCCCTTATTTCCTTTGCCTCAGCTTTACATTTAGTAAGACTTTCAATAAGCTTTATTATTTCAATAAGCATTAACTCTTTTCAGAGTTAAATTCTTCTTCTTCCAGAAGAGACTCTGCAGAATGACCCAGACCATTTCCCCACCTTCAGGTCCTGCCATGTACAAACTCTTCAAAGGAGGGGACCCTGAATACCAGTCACAAAGGTCCTACAAGGGGCACTCATCTTCCCCCCATCACCCAGCCCAGCACCGAATTCTCACACATTCAGGAAAAGTTACAGCTTAATCATACATCCTCTTCATCTTTAAGATGGATGCAAACACCAATAACTTTAACTGCGGCTCTATGGTTATTCATGGATTTGACAGCAGTTGTCAAGTATAGGAAGTTTGGACACATGTAGGAAAGATTTAAAACCTATATAGACATTTTGTTGGTTGAAAACAAAATACAAAGCTGGGGATTACACCCTGACATTTTTTCTAGGATGGATAATATAGAGTGGCCTTACCGTACACACCAACACTGCTGTGTTCAGGCCAAGCGAACTAGTCCCTTTCCATTTACCATCTCAGGATGGTGACTCTCAGTCATAGCATTTACCCTGGATCCACTGGGCTGGGCTCCATTTCCTGGACATGTAGACTTTTTAATTATAGTAAATACCAATGACACAACAAATACAAATCATCAGTGGGGGTTGTCCAGCTAAGGACGACCAGTGAAATGCATACATTAGTACTCATCAAATGGCTCTTGTTGAACTTGGCTAATAGTAAATTGAGCTGGTATTACCTTTCAAAGCCAAGCCTATCAACTATAAGCACATCAGAATCCTATGCCAACTTTAACACATCTATTCCCAATTAATAGCTCATTATTTGTTTAATTATGTGGTTTTTATTGCTATCTATAGAATGAATTCACTGAGGAACTTTAAAAAAATTCCCAGTGTCCAGTTTCAGTCCCCAGATCGATAAATTGAAGGTTCAGCATCATATTTTTTTGTTGTTCTTTTTTGGTTTTGTTTTTTTTATGTTGTGGATTATTATAATAGGCAACCAGGGTTGAAAACCTCTGAATACCAGTTGTCCATGTTAAAAACTAACATATGAGATTACGGTAACAGAAAGGTAATACCAGCTCAATTTACTGTTAGCTAGGTTCAACAAATACCATTTGATATGTACTAATGCATGCATTTCATTGGTAGTCCTTAGTTGGACAACCACCACTGGTGATTTGTATTTGTTGTGACATTGACATTTGCTTGTGTACTTAACTGCTTTTGCTGTTTTTACTCTGTCCCCTTTGGCTTACAACCCATGTTTCAGGTAGTATCCAAGATAGTGCTTCTTTCAAAACCTAGGTTAGAGTCTACCACACCTATGCTTCAATCACTTCCCACCACACTCAGAATAAAACACCAACACTAACTATGGCACTGTGGAGCCTGTGTGATTGGACCCCAGTCTGCCCATCTCAGCCCATCTCCTACCACCTTCTCCTGTACTCATGCTTGGCCATTCCTACTCACTCAAACCTTTACCTTGGAGTCACTCGGGGAGGATTTATAAAAACTCAGATGCCTGTCACCTACCCCAAAGCAGTAACTCATCATAACTATGGGTAGTGCCCAGACACAGGTTTACTTAAGAGCTCCCAGGGGATTAAATGATCCAAAGTTGAGAACCTTTAAGTGCAAAGCTCTTTCTCTTTTTCAAGCATCACCCTCATTCCCATCTAAGGGCCACAGAACTTGCTATTTCTTCCTTCTGGAACCTTCTTCCCCTTCATCATATGGCTTTTCCATTTTGTTAATTGAGATCCAAGATCACTTTCTTGGATCACTTTACTGAATATTGCCCCCTGCCATTCTATTCCACCCATAACCCCCCAACCACTCTCTGTTACATTAGACTATTTTAGTTTCTCCATAACATTTTGGAATCTTTTTTTTTTTTTCCTTTTTGTCTTTTTTACTGACCGGCAACGGGATCGCAACCCTCGGTGTTGCACCCACACCACGCTCAGCCAGTGAGTGGGAACCGGTCTCCACATGGGATCCGAACCCTCGGCGGGAGCGCCACCGCACTCTCAGGCGGCGCACTCTCCAGCGCGCCACTGGGCTGGCCCTGGAATCTTTTGTTATTTATTTATTTGCTTATTTATTACCTGCCTTATTTAGTGTCAGTTTCCCTGTGTTTTAGTCACTGCTGCTCCTCCAGTGCCTAGGACAGGGCCATATAGCAGATGCTCAGCAAATACTTATTAAATGAATACATGGTCTATTGCAAAGCACTAAATTATAAGGTTATTGCAGGTAGGGAACAATATCTTCTATTTTCTTTTTACTTCTAAGACTATCCAATAAAATTTTCTGTACAGCATAAATGTCTTGATTAACCAATTCTCAAGAAACACATCCAGAAGAAAGAAAAGTCTAATGCTATTACAGTTCCTTGGAGGTCCACTGTTCAGTGTTCTTTAGATCCTGCTACATGGCTTCTCCATGACTGAGACAGTACATCCAGAATAACGAAGTATTACTTCTAAGTTGTGGCTACAAATAAATGAGTGAATGAATAAATAAATCAGTGAATAAGTACATCCACCCTGGTAGGGATGTTCTCCTAGTCTCTCTGCTCATTGCCTACAGCGTCGGAGATAATAATAATAGTTGTATCATCTATCACATGTTGACAATGTTCCGGAACCTTGCTAAGCACTTCACATGCATTCTCATGCACCTGAGATTGTTGCTATCGTTATCCCCATTTTCCTAAAAAGAACACTGAAGCTTAGAAATCAACTTGCCTGCTATTCCACAGTGGAGGCTTGAATCCAGATTAAAAGACTTTAAATCTTGTGTTCTTAAACATGACCTTTCTTACCTTGGCACTTCAACTTCACTTTGCTACAGTGCTCTTCTCCTATTCTCTGTGTGTCAGTTCTCTACCACTAAACTCAGCCCAAGAATTGCCTTTTCCATAATCCTCTTTCCCTCCCCAAGGCTGAATTTATGATTCCTGCCTCTCCCCATCCACTTTTGTTCTATCTCTTAGTACATCCTGTTGGGATGCTTTTACTGTAGTTTACTTGTCTATACCCGCTCAAGCAGAGAGAACCCGTGGTATTCAGTACTGTCTGCTAGACGATAGCTGCCAGTGTTTATAGATTAAATAGAGTGATGAGTCTGTTTTCAAAGATGAAGTAAACACACCAAACTTCTTGGGTTCTCTTTTACGATACATGATGGTTCTGTCATCCTGAAATGATCTCAACTCTTCTTAATAGTTTAGCTTTTGCCATACCTTTTGGCTTTAGCATAGTATTATGCTCAAAGTTGCCCAGAAATGAATAGGGGTGTGTCAAAATAATCCGAGATTCAAGAAAAGAATGTACAACTTGCAAAAAGTGGGAATTTAATAAATACTTGTTGACATGAGAGCACAGGAGGGCGAGAAGTGATACGTAGTTCAGGTGAGGAACCCCAGGTTGTGTCTCAGCTCTGCTGTCATATGACTGTGTGTGCTTAGCTACCCATTATATGTGTCTCATCCTCACTGGTGCAATTCAAATTTTATTTCAGTTTGGTTTATTTCTTGAACAGCTACTGTGTGGCTGCACTAGACCAGATTCCACATATCAAAAGAAGAAGCAGACACAATTTCTTACCTCTGGGAGTATGGTAGTTAGGGAAGACAGACATATAGACAAGTAATCATTTATGTATCCACATGCAGACATAATTTTTAATGGACACGAATATGTGATTGTATACATACTTTTTGTCTTCTGTATTTTTTTTCTCTTTTTTGCTTGGCTCCCTGAAGTCTAGTGGATATCTCTTCATATTTTATATTTTTCTCTTGTTCATATAATTCTATGAAAATATATAGGGATTATTTTTCATTATTGCTTGTTCTATGAAAATGGAGTCCTATTTTACATTCATTTCTTACTCAATTACAGCATGTGGAACTCCTTCCAAGTCATCTGATATAGCTCTAATTCATTTCTTTTAATTAATATACTATTTTTCAGATAAGATTTAGGTTTACATCAAATAAGCAGAGAGTTTACATATATTCCCTCATCCTCTCTCCTTCAGTTTCCCTATTACTGATTTCTTACTTTAGTGTGGTACATTTGTTACAACTGATCAGGCAATATTGATACATTATTATTAACTCACGTTTATAGTTTACATTAGGGTTCACTCTTTCTGGGTTTTAGCAAATGTATAAATGACATGTATCCACTATTATGGCATCACCCAGACTAGTTTCATTACCCTGAAAATCCCCTGTACTCCACCTCTGCTTCCCTTCCTTCCCCCCAGCCTCTGGCAACCACTAATCTTTTTGCTGTCCCTATAGTTTTTCCTTTTCTCAAAAGTCATATGGTTAGGGCCGGCCCGGTGGCGCACTGCTGCAGTGCGCTGCTTGGGAGCGCAGTGGCGCTCCCGCCGAGGGTTCGGATCCCACATACAGACCGGTTCCCGCTCACTGGCTGAGCGAGGTGTGGGAGCAACACCGAGGGTTGCGATCCCGTTGCTGGCCCCGGTCCGGGACGGGCGTGACACTGAGGGTTGCGATCCGTTGCTGGACACGAAAAAAGACAAAAAGGGAAAAAAAAAAAAAGTCATATGGTTAGAATTATACTGTATGTAACCTTTTCAGATTGGCTTATTTCACTTAGCAATATGTGTTTAAAGTTCCTCCATGTCTTTTCATGGCTTGATAGCTCATTTCTTTTTATCACTGAATAATATTCCATTGTGTGGATCTGCTACAGATTGTTTATCCATTTACCTATTGAAGGACATCTTAGTTGCTTCCAAGTTTTGGCAATTATGAAAAAAACTGCTGTAAACATTTGCGTGTAGCTTTTTGTGTGGGCATAACTTTTCCACTTACTTGGATAAATGACAAGGAGTTTACTGGTAAAGTTATTTGGGCTAGAGTTGTCCTAATGTAAAGGTTTTTACTTATGGATTCAATTTGTGTGTTAGATGTAAGACTATTAAGACTTTCTTGTCCGACTTTTGATAAAGTGTCTTTCAAGGAATTTTTCTTTTTTTAATTTTTAAAATGTATTGGCAAAAGATCTTTTTAATAGTCTCATAATCTTTTATTGTCTGTAGAGTCTGTTGTGATGGCTACTTTCTGTTTCTGATATTGATCATTTGTACTTTCTCCCTCCACTTTTCCTATGTTAGTGATTTTCCTAAGTCTTTTCAAAGAACCAATTTTTGGCTTTATTGATTTTTCTCTATCGTGCTTTCGACCTGATTACTGCTCTTACCTTTATTATTTCTTTTCTTCTAATTACTTTGGATTTAGTTTGATTTTCATTTCTAGCTTCTTGAGATAGTTGTTTAAAATAATGATGATAAATATATATATTTTTAATTTTAGTATATATTGCCAGGTAGCTCTCAAGTATCTATAACACTTTACATTATCATCATCAGTGAATAAAAGTAAACATTTCTCCACATTACCACCAGCAATAGAATCAAATATCTTTTAAATATTTTAAATATGCCAGTAAGATGGGTGAAAAGTGAAAGTTTGCTTTTTCCTAGACAGGTGATCTTAACATACTATGGCAAGTGCTAGGAATAAAGTTTGCACAGTAAATGGCACTTTGGCACACTGTGGTCCTGGAAGTATCTTTGGAGAGGATGATACCAGAGCTAGGTTATAGATGAAGTCCAGAGGAATTTGTACTAGATGGTCTCTAGGATGCTTTTGAATTCCAAAATTCTAGGAATCTAGGTAGGAAATTATAAGAAATAATAAAGTTTGAGCATTATGCAGTCTTACATTACTGTATCTATCATCTGGAGCTCCCATAGCAAGTGGCCGAACTGTTAAGAATCACAGAAGCCTGAGATTTCTTGTTTTCTTTTATAGCAATGGAGGTATTCCTACACAGCTTCATATGACATTTATGACTTAAATAAAAGGTCAGTGACTTCCCCATAAAATCTATTAGGCTTTTCTAGTACAATTTTTTTTTTCTTAAAGGAAATCCCACTGTGAGTTATTCTTTTGGTAATGTTTCCTTTTTTTTCTTTTTTTCTTTTTTTTTTTTCAGGCAACTGATTACAGAAGAGAAAATTCCAAACAATACACAGTGGATCACATGGTCACCAGAGGGTCATAAGTTGGTTAGTGAGTCTTCCCTCTTGTCTGGAAAATATTGGCTGAAATCTTTCATATGCAGAAGCTACTAACCCTGATACAAAGCAGAAATCTTAGGAAGCCAATACTTCACTATAAAATATAAAAAATAGTGTTATTGCCCAAGATAATATTTTACTAGCCTAACAGAATAAATACAATTCCTGAAAGTTTCTGTAGGGAATTGTTTATTCACTGGGAAAATGCTCATTAAACTCAAGTTCTAGTTATCTATTGTACTTAGATGCTTTCTGAGTCGTACGTGCTTTCTGCTAGTTCTGTGACCTTCTGTGTCACTGGAGATATATCTTCACATTGTATAGTGCTGGGAGAATGTCAGAAGCCCGAAAGAATCTGAATGAGAAGATGAATATTTATCTGCAGTTGGGCTTCTCTCTCCCAGGTGTAACTGCACTCCTGTTCTCCTTCCAAGGAGGAAATGCACAAGCTGTAGGATCCTACAGAAGTGGTCAGCCTTCTAGGTCTTCTCGCACACTTTAACATCCAAATAGTGGTAGCTGTGAGTTTCTTATTTTTAACATACTAATAATGTATTTTAGAAATATTTGGGGATCATAGTCTGTATACTTGTAACAAGAATGGGAGGGAAGGAGTAAAATGACCCTTCTTGCTTGAATGGAATAACTAACTATGGTAATCATTATACTTGCATAGATAAGTGTTTTCAAAACTCCAGGATAAAACATTTTATAGCATGTTATTATTGATATCAATACTTTTTTTTAATCTTCTTAGGCATATGTTTGGAAAAATGATATTTATGTTAAAAATGAACCAAATTTACCAAGTCAAAGGATCACGTGGACTGGGGAAGAAGATATAATATACAATGGAATAACTGACTGGGTGTATGAAGGTAGACACTTTAAAGCTTTTTCAAAATGAAAATTTTAAGCTTTTAAAAATAGTTAAATGTTTCTTTAAAAATGGGGAAATTCAATGGGATTCAAAATAAGTTGCATTTAAGAAAATGTCATCGAATCTCTGTTAGAACTCACAGCACAGGCATCTCATCGAGTGAGAGCTTCTTTGCAGCTGGTGCTGCTCTGCCCTCATTGTCTCACAAGACTCCTCTTACCTTTGTTTCACAGCTACAAAGAGCCTTTCTGTAAAGGTAGCTTTTCTGGTTTTACTGGGGTATAAAAGCCTCCAGATTAACATCGGATGTTTCTCTAACTAGGCCTACCTAACCCAGAAATTACTAAGGAAGGCTAAATAGTCCCACAACATTAAAAAAAAGATGATAAAATATTGTCTGGAGGTTGGAGAATGGAGAGGATGAAAATGCATGTTTCATAGAAGATTCTTGTTCACTTGAACTTAGACAAATTATGATTTCCTATTTTAAAAGGAAGAAGTAAGCAAAAATCAAAATTAAAAAAGTTAAAAAGAAATATTCTCCTGGGCCGGCCTGGTGGCGCATTGCTACAGTGTGCCGCTTGGGAGCGCGGCAGCGCTCCCGCCAAGGGTTCGCATCCCACATACAGACCGGCCGCTCACTGGCTGAGTGAGGTGCGGGCGCAACACTGAGGGTTGCGATCCGTTGCCGGACACAAAAAAAGACAAAAAAGGAAAAAAAAAAAAGAAATATTCTCCTAAGATAAGGAATTTTAGAAACTATTATGAACACATTTTAGAAACTTAGAAAATATTAGAAAAACATTTTTCATGTCTATAGTTGCCAAGATAAAAGGTGTTTTGAGACTGTTCCAAACTGTTCACAAGGTTGCCTCATACTTATTTGAAAGACTCATCCCTGTTTTATCCTATTATTTCTTCTTTGTAGTTTTTTTTCAAGAGAGATTTTTTAATTACGTGATTTTGGCTCTTACCTATTTCAAGTCAAGTTCAATTAACTAATAATATAAAAACAACAAAAATTACATTAAAAGAAAGATAAATTTCCATGGCCGAAAAATGTGTTTTATTAAAACATAATGATATTTGCTTATGCTAGTTACTTAGAGATTCTTTAACACTTGTTGGACAGCACAGCACAGCCTCCAGGATCAACACATGAAGTGAGCAGTCTCTTCTCAAAGCTGTGACCGTCTCTCAGGAACAGCTGGGCATCTCTAAGATAAGAACACCCCTAACACTTAACACCTTTTTCGAGGTAGCTGGAAGAATCTCATCTTGCGTGTTCATGACTAAGCCATTCACATGCAGAAGAATGGCTTCATGGTTCCAGTATGGTCCTTTCTCTAAAAACAGGAGTTTAGTCCCTAGAGGGAAATTATTACATCGTCAATATGGAAAAATACGTTCTGTATTCCAAATAACCACTAATTCAAAACACAGAACACTACCTGCTACCTGTACTTAACAAGTAATTTTTAAAACCAAAAGCTTGCTTTAATTGTATTGATTTTATGTACTTGCAACTGTTTTGTAAACTAGAATCTATGGGTGAAATCTACAAGGAATGAGACATCAACTCAGTATATGAAGAAGTTCTTAGTGAAAACCTTGACTTGGAGTCATAAGGCCTGGGTTCTAGTTCTTGTCTCAGGCAATTCATTCAATCCCTCTAAGTCTCAGTTTGCTTTTCTGTAAAATGGGCTATGAATAAACCCACCCAGGGATCTTTATGAAAACTAAATTCAATGTGTTTTGTAAATTATAAATTGTTACATAAATGTGTACATACCAGAGACATAGGTATGAAGCAGTCAAAGGGAGAGTGGGCTGCCTTACCAGGCAGTAGGTTTTCTGTTACTAGACATGCTGCAACGGAGGCTAAAAGGGGCAGTACAGCATACACATGAAAAGCATGAACTCAAACCTGAGAGGTCTGAGTTGATGTTTGATGTCACCAGTTATTAGCCATGTGACTCTAGGCAAATTGCTCATCCTCTTTAGGCTTGACTCACTTTGTTCATCTGTACAATGGGTTATTGTGAGAATTAACTGAGATAGTAGATGTCAATTGCTTATCAATGCCTGGTACATAGCTAGCCCTCATCAAATGTCAGCTGCTCATCATGATAATTATGATTACATTTTATTATTGTAATTATTTTTACTGCTACTACTATTATTATTATTATTATTGAAAATGAGCATTTAGAAGCAACTTGTAAAGAGGCCTCAGGCATCAGAAAAGTGATTGGAATACACGATTTCCTAACTGTAAGATTCTAGTTCCTGTGTTTGTGCTTTTACATTTACACTCACATAAGACTAGTGGATTAACTAGGAGCCTACTGAACTCCTCGATTCCTATTTGGTTAAAGAGATTTTGGCATGTTAAAAGCCAGAGATTGAATGTCCCATGAATAAAACCCATAATAAACTAGGGAGGAGCTACCTTTGCCAGAGATTGAAAATAGGCCCAACAATATACTGGAAAGCAAGATTTTTTTTTCATTTGCCTCCCTCTTTGACCCTCTTACCCATCAGCATATACACAAGCAGAGTGTTAATCCAAGGGAGTTTTCAGTTTCTGGGCTGGGCAAAGGAAATATTTCTCAGTAGGGGTCTCATAGAGCTCCTTGCCATTCTAAGTCCATCCTTCCCACACCTTATTTGTGCCAGGAGTAGTAAACTCTGGGCACTATATTGGTTTGATAGCCTGGAGCCACACACCACGCACCAGTACCCTGTGGGCTCAGTATATACTGAGCCCAGTTGGGAAGAGTATGCTGGCATGTTGACTGCTTGAAAATTAAAAAGAAGAGAGCCTCCTGTGTGAAATTTACTTTTAGTATGTTTTGAGGCATAAATTTGGAGGATTATAAGATAAAGAAAAAAATGTAGAGCTTATATTAAATATTGCATGCTAAAATATTCTAAAATGGTCCAACGGGTTACTTATTTTTACAATCCAGATATATCCTAGAAGATTTTATTTTTATTCATTTGTATTACTCTGATTTTGGAAGCCCAGCAAATGCAAAGTGGTTCATTAGTTGAACTCTACTGTAATTACTAAAGCTAATGAGAACAATATTTTGAATGCCAAAGCCAATTTATCAGCTACTTCTTAGAACAATTTATGTCTTTTTCAGAGGAAGTCTTCAGTGCCTACTCTGCTCTGTGGTGGTCTCCGAACGGTACTTTTTTAGCATATGCCCAATTTAACGACACAGAAGTTCCACTTATTGAATACTCCTTCTATTCTGATGAGTCACTGCAGTACCCAAAGACTGTACGGGTCCCATATCCAAAGGTCTGTGCTCCAATTTGCGTAGTGGTTCCGTGATTTGATGGGAAAGAGAATGGTTTCATTTAATCCCTTCTTGCTAATGAAAATATTGTCAGTCTCTCTTCAACAGCTTGCTGTGATTACTCTTGCTAAAGTCAACAGCATCTGGCAATTTTAAAGCAATTTTATTATCCCAGGAAAGAGTGTGATTTAAGGTTTTGTAATGTCTCCAAAAACTTTGAGAAATGACAAGCAGAAAAAGATGGGGAAAATGATTTTGAAAGAGGTAGGGGGAATGAAAATGTTTGACTGGAGGAAAAGAGAGGCTGTAATTGAATCAGAAGCTCATTTCATTTGTAGAAGTTGGAATGTGCCTCAGATGAAGTTGAAAGCTTGGTTATTATATATCAGATTGTATTACTAATTAACAGGAGACATGACTAGTTTTAGTGGTTCTATTACAGATTTGGCACTAATGTAAAAATTTCACACATTCTACATTTGGAATAATAGTGTCACATCTTGGTTTTCAAAGCTGTTCTCCCGCTCTGAGATGCATGTTTACTGAAATTGAAGGACTTTGTTTAGCAGTGTAAGTCAGAGAAGAGGGAGAGCTTAAAAGGAACCAAGATTTCTTCATTAATACCATAATAAGAATGGTATTGTTAGGGAAATCTAATAGGACAGTGTTTTTGCTGTAAGCTTTTCGAGAAAGAGATTTTTATTTTTACCAACTCACTCAATTTGCTTATGAAGAGCTGCCATTTTAGGAAGATAGCGGAAATTAAAAGAAAAAAAAAAGATCAGAGACTAAATATGGAGATGTGTTTTCAGTAGAATGCTATTTTTTGATGAGTGAAACTGGCAAAAAAAAAACCCATAAAATATTCTCACTAAAAATATCATATTATTTCTAACTAATCTGTCAATCAAAGATCTATGTGTATATTTAAAAAGGTTTTACAAGTTTCTGTCATAATATTGATTATAAAGCTCTAACATGGTGAACCTGAATTTGGAGTAAAAATGATGGCTTCCTAATTAGCATCATTGGCTCTCAGCTCAGGTAAACTAATTTTCTTGGTAAATTGTGTCTTTGGCAGAACCTAAGGTGTTCTTCATAGTGACAGCTATCACAGACTTTTTGTTTTGCGGTGTCAGGGTATATTTGCAAATACGGTCATGTGCCACCTAATGATGTTTTGGTCGACAATGTTGTTAAGTGACGCATGACTATAATAAAATTGATGTTAAGAAGTTTATCATTGATTTCAAAAAGTACATAAATTATAAACATATAAACATTTATTATTTAAACAGGAGCGCTTTGAACCTTCAAGATATGCATGCGCACACACGCACATACACACACACACACAGGGCTATGTTGTTTCTGCCTGAACATCAAAAGGTTACATTTCATGACTCTTCTTATGTTCATTTTATTTATATTAAATTGTTTGGAGGTGTCCAATTGTTATAACTTTATGGCCATAATGCAGATGGTTTGGGGCACTTTTAAATTTGTGCAATGATGTTGTATTTTTTTGTCGACGTGAATTCTGTGATTGTTTTTTTTCCTAGGCAGGAGCTGTGAATCCAACTGTAAAGTTCTTTGTTGTAAATACAGACACTCTCAGCCCAAACACCAATGCAACTTCCATACAAATCACTGCTCCTGCTTCTATGTTGATAGGGTAAGACTCTTCATCTGAATGCTTGGTTTGTAAACAGTTTCACACTTTCCAGGAAGAGCATTTCAGAAATGAATGAATGGCAGACTCGATCGTAGCCCCCAGTTTATCCCGTGCTGGCGCCATTCATTCTCTCATGCAGCAGTTCTTTGTTGAGCACCTACTTCCTGTCTTCAGGCTGCACATGGTTCTAGTGACAGGCATGCACATGCTGCCTACACTCAAATGGGGAGACAGACAATAACCAGATAAACAAATAACAATATAAAACGTCACGTGGTGATGATGTTGTGAAGAAAACCAAAGCCAGGCGAAAGTGATGAGGCCAGTGGGGGAGGTCAGGAAAGGTCCCTGTGGTGCAACTACCTGTGCACAGTGATGTGAGGAAAGAAAGGAATCTGTCCACCTGGGTGGTTGGGGCCACAGTGTCGGGCAGGGAAGAGCATGTGCGAGGGCCCTGCAGAGGGCATGTGCTGGAGCATTAGAGGAACTGCAAAGAGGTCAAGGTGACTGGAGCCTGCTGAGTGCAGAAGAGAGGGGAGAAGACAGGCTCAGCTCCACAGGGCTTTGTAAGACCTAGAGAAACTCAGGGAAACTTAATTGAGGGAGTCCCAAGGTTGTCTTGTACCTCAAGCTCTCACTTGCTTAAATAATCCTCAGTGGTTCGAAATCTGCCATCAAGCCCCTTCAGTCCCTTGTTTATTTTCCTGTAAGGAAACCACCATACTGGGTGCAATTTATGGCTATCGAGTAGCTCTTTATTTATTTCCACCACTTATGTTGGTTTTGCTGTTGTTTTTAAATAACAGCCAGCACACATTGAATACTCAGTGTGTGCCAGACACAGGGCATTATCACATGCTTTATGTTGTCACTATTTAAAGTAACTTTCTCTTTCCAACAACTGTTATTATATGCCTGTTTTACAGACAGGAAAATGAGGCCTAGGGGTTAAGAAAATGACCAAGCAGGAGTCTGAATTCAAACCTGTCTTTCTGACTTTAGAGAGCGAGCTGTAAAACTCTGCCAGGTGCCTCCTGCAGTATGAATACAGCTGGTGCCCTCAGATTCCTGAAGGTATCATGAGAGCAGTGCAGAAGTATCCATTTTCTCCGGGGTTGTATTAACTACATCAGGCATGCTGTGGGCTGTGGTTAGTAATTCATTAGCCTAGTGAGAAATATCTACATTAACCTATTCACTCTGGAGGAAAATGAATTATCAGTAAATTTTAAAAAAAAGTTTTTCCTGAGTTTATCCAACAGTACAAAGATTTACCAAAAGGTTCTAAAATATGCAGTTTGATCCCAGCTCTTCAATCAGTATTGATTGAGCACCACTGTTTACACTCACAAATGTCCACAGGGAGAGTCTCTTTCCTTCTAGCGCTTGTCAGCAGGTAGACAATACAAACATTCAGACAAATAACTCCAAGTGTGCTAGGACAGAGGGCTAAACAATAGGAAGGAGGTCTTCTGAAGAGGGGGAGATGGGTTTTCCACGACCCCAGGGATGAAAGTCAGCACCTGGAGGATGTGCAGATTGAGCAGGTAGGATCCCAGCAGGCACAGTGAGGAGGAAGGGCACAGAAATGGAACAGAGCATGGGAGAGCACAGGGCTACCCAGGGACAGACCAGCAGTGCCTGTGTGACCTTGTGGTCTGTGACCAGTATCTGTCTGCAAGGATGAGCCATGAGTGCCTGCTCTGAAAAATATTCCATCTGGAAGGGGCATTAGAACTCATCAATGGTTTATAAACTTTTTTAAGGACTCAAGAACCTTTGTTCAAGTGAGATTCACACAGAAGTGCAATGCCAGAAAACAAACAAAGACTCCCGTTCAGGTTGGGCAGGCCTTGTGTCTTGGTTTGTTTTCTGTTGCTTATAACAGAACATGTGAAACTGGATGATTTATAAAAATACTGAATTTATTTCTCACAGCTTTGAAGCTGGAAAGTACAAGGTTGAGGGGGTGCAGATGGTGAGAGTCATTTTACTTGTGGGGACTCTATAAATTCCTGAAGTGGCACAGGGCATCCCATGGTGAGGGGGCTGAGTGTGCTAATGTACTGTCTTCCTCTTCTTATATAGTCACCAGTCAACACCCACAATAATCCATTAATCCATTAATCCATTAACCCATTAATGAATAGATTAATTTATTCATGAGGACAGAGCCCTCACGATCCAATCACCTCTTAAAAGACCTCACCTCTCGACACTGCCACGTTGGAGATTAAACTTCAACATGAATTTTGGAGGGGACATTCAAACCACAGCACCAGTCCTTATCCCCTTTTCTTCCCACAAGAGTCCTAGGAGATTAGACAGAAACTGAAGGGATTCCAGAACACACTCAGAACATTCCTATAAGACACAGATGAGAGAACTGAGGCCCAGAGAGGTAAATTCATTTCTTGAAGGCCACAGAGCAAGATAGTGTGGGAGCTGGAAACAGCACAGAGGCCTGTGTCTGCCAGATGAGAATATTCGAGTAATTGAATTAAAAAGTACTGAGCACTTCCTATGGTCTGGGGCTGTGCTCAGTGTTCTGCTCTTGCTGTCACACTCATTCCCCCAAAGTTCCCTATGGTGTCGTGTTCACGGCCATTTTACAGATGAAGAGACGGTGTCTCTCTTACACAGAAAATACTTTGCAAAGAATAGTTGTGAAGTACTGAGCTCAGGAAATTTAAGCAAGCCCAAGAACTTATTTTTTGCCCTGTGTGAATTAATCATTAAGTCTTTGTTCTTTGTACTTCTTTAAGCTGCACTCATGAAGGGGGTTGCCACAACTCACTGTGGATATTTTGTGTGGAATGTATGTTACCGAAAAATTGTTTTTGGATGCCACAGGAATGTGTTCTATAGGGAATTTAAAATATAGCTCTGGTCTCTGTTAATACCAGTGTCTTAGTCAGTTTTTGTGTTGCTGTTAACAGAATACATGAGACTGGGTAATTTATAACGAACTTTATTGGGCTCACGATTCTGGGACAGCTGGGTCTGGTGCGGGCCTCAGGCTGCTTCCATTCATGGCAGGAAGTGGCAGGCAGCCGGCAGTGCAAGATCACAAAGGGAGTGGGGGGAAGTACCAGGCTCTTTTTAACAACCTGGAACTAATCCATTCTCTGGAGAGTTCACTGCCCAGAGAGAGTATTAATCTATTCATGAGGATCCTCCTCCATAACCCAAACACTTTCCACTAGGCCCCACCTCCCACCACTGTCACATTGGAGATCAGATGTCAACATAAGCTTTGGTAGCGACAAACCATTATCCAAACTATAGCAACTAGTAAGGTTGCAGTTTTCTAAAACTACTGTTTTCTGGCCTCATGCAAAGGTCTAGCAGGGCCATGTTAATCCAGGCAAGTTATTCCTCTTCATAAAACGCCCAGCCCTTGGGCTGTGTCACCTCGTGATCACTAGTCTCTGGAGTGGGAGGCCTCGACAGGATCAGCACCTCTCTTTCCTCCTCTGCCCTCATTAATTTTCCTGCTAGGCCGTGCCCCTTCACCACAGAGCTTCAGCAAATGAAATCCTACTGGAGAATGAGGCTGGTGTGTGGTTTTGTCAGGAATTGGCAAAAATGAGTAGAAATGGGTGGAAATACTCATTTCAGAAATGAGTAGAAAGGGCACACTGGCCACTTTTCCAACACCCCAGGCCTGCACCTGAACCAAGGAGAGCCTCCCTGATTGAGTGCTCCACACTGATTTAGTGCTGAAATTGATTAGGTTTGTTAAACTGCTAATTTGTATTGAATAACCATCATGGAAGTCTGAAAGCTCAACATATTTGAGAGAAAACAGCATACAATGTAAAATCATAAATCTCCTGTTTTATTTAGAGCAGTGCTGACGTTGCTGACTGAAGGAAGACAAGTTCTATAGGGTGGGGCCACTCCTACGATAGTATCTCCAGTGCCTAGCAGGGTGCCTGGGGCATAGCGAGTGCCCAACTAATAATTGTAGAATAAATTAATAGGTAAGTGGGTAGGTGAATGGACAGATGGGTGGGTGGATGGATGGGTAGATGAGGTGGGTTATCTGGTGACTTTGTGTGTATGCAATAGGAGTTTACACAACCAGCACTAAGGATAGCCTGCAAAACAACTTTGCATAGCAATCCCTCTTTTCTACCTCCTCCCGGACATCTGCAAATTCTGCAGCTGTAAGATTGGAGAGGGCATGTTCTGGTGAGGTGACCCCACCCAACATCTGCTGAATAGCTCTGGAGGTCCATCACATAACCTGCCCACCCTGTTCTCTCTGCTCCTGAGGGACACAATAAAAACATGCTGTGTCTCCTCTGAATGGTTGATGACCTTTGGTGTATAAAGCAGGGGCATTAGAGCCTGCAACTGTCCCACAGGATATAGATAAACTGGACTAATACACTGGAAACTGGAAACTAGTGACACCTGCAAGCAAGGAAGCAGATGAGGGCTCGTGTGCTGTGGGCGCCACCCCCCTCAGATCCGCCCCACCTTGCCCCACCCATTCTACTGCTCAGCGATCTGTCAGCACACCCAGGAGGGCTGGCATCCCTGTCTGGCAGGGTGCGGCATGGAGCCTGCGGCCAGCACTGGCAGTAGGGCCTGTTTCCTCGGGTGATTCACTGAATTAATTACACCACAGTCTGCAGTTGCTGTTAGTAGCAATTTTTCCTCTAATATTTGCAGTTAGTAATGCATACCTTATTTTAAGTATTCTTAATGTACCAAAAGAAACATTTATACAAATTAACAGAAGCAATATCACCCAACAGACATCTATTAAATGTCTACTGTTTGCAAGGCATTGTGCTAGGACATGCAGTCAGTTTACAAAGGGCCTTGTAGTATGATATGCCCTGTTGTATGATTTTCAAAAGCAAGTCTTTCTCAATGCTTTTAAATATGATTTTCTCTATAAAATTCACTTTACACACAACTCTCAAGGAATAAATAAGATTTCATCGAGTGAGGGATTTTATGATGAAAAGAAGCAAGAGGGTGAATGAAGTTAGTGAGCAATGATTCCCAAAGGAGTGTGTGGAGGTTCTACAGAGGGAAGCAACGCAAACAGGACAATCTGAAGCCAGCTGCCTGATTTGCATCCTGGCTCCAACACTTTCCAGTTGGGTTATCTTGGGCAAGTTCCTTAACCTCTCTACACTTCCATTTCCTAATCTGCAAAACATGAACTACAATGGTACCTACCTCATAGGATGGTCATGAGCTTTATGTCAGGCACTTAGAACAGTTCCTGGCACATAGTAGACTCCACATGGGTGTGAGCTCTCATTATTATGTTCAGAAATTACTCCATTGCTTTAGTATTAAAATTAACCATATTCCCGTTGGACTAAGCCAGTTCCAGAAGTTAGAGGAGCTTGTAGGCTCACTATGTCTAGCCTGGGACAAGCAGTCCAGGCTCCCAGAAGGCCTGCCTGCAGGTGTACTCCCCTTCCCACCCTCCCCCAGCCATTGCATAGCAAAAGTCTACTCGGTATTTGCCTCTCTGTTTTTGCAGAATAAAACCGACATGTAGTGTGCAAAGCATAGCTGATAATCCTGCTTGTTAGATCTTTCTTGTCAAGTGGGGACTTAAACCTTTCAGAAAAAAGTACAATGAAGCCATTGGTTTATATCTTTTTCATGACTCATTGACATAGCCTGGGATGATCTTAGCTCAGGACTGTGATTGATGAGGTCTGTTTATAAGAAAATGCAAAATCACTGCCTGCTTCACTAGGGAGCTGCTTTTGCGGAGCACTCACAGGGTGCACCTTGGGCCATGAGAGGTAGGGGAGGATCCAGGTTCATTAACCTTTGATCTAGAAATGGGCAGGGAAGATGGCCCACACATGTGAGTTTCTTGGCTGATTTCCCAGATTCTGTTACTCAATGTTTCCGAAGTTGCTTTTATATTTCTGATTTCTGAACCTGAGGTATAATTTATGGCTATTAGTAGACAAAGCTATTTAGTGCCCACTGACCCACTAACCATAGCCAAGAGTTTTCTTCCCCCATCAGCTGCCCATCTCCTGCCAGAACACTTTTAAAAAGACAAAGATATTTCTGGAACCCAGATTCTTCGTCTATACCCACGGAACCCTTGGAAATTGTGTGCGTGTGAGTGGAGAGGCTTTTTTTCCCCTAAAGAGAGGTACATAATTTTCATCACATTTTTAATTTAAAAAAATAAGAGCCACTGGTATAGTACAGGAGTTAGCACATCAGGGCCCACGGGCCATTTTCAGCCCATGGCCCATTTTTGTATGGTCCACAAGCAAGCACGGGTTTTGCATTTTTAGATGGTTTGGGATAAAAATCAAAAGAAGAATAATATCTCATGATGTGAAAATTATGTGAAATTCAAATCTCAGCTTTTCATTGGAACATAGCCACACGTTCATTTCAGTATTGTCTCTGGTTGCTTTTGTGCTCCAAAGACAGAGTTGAGCAGTTGTGTCAGAGAACACATAGACCACAGAGCTTAAAATATTTCCTCTCTGGCCCTTCACTGGAAATGTTTTCTGACCCCTGGTCTAGAATATTAATTTCAAAAAGCTTCATTTTCTATCTTTTTTGTCATTCTTCCATTCTTTTTGCAAGGATTAGTACCTGTCCTGGATAAGATCTATTTGCCTTTCCATTTTCTCCTTTAGCTCCTCTGCACTGGGCAAATGCAGCCGAGTGAAGCTGACTGAGGCACTCTTGCTCCCAGACACGCAAAGAAGCGTTCTCATCTCAGACCCTGCAGCCTGGTAGTTGGTGATAAGGCCATGAGACTGGTGATGCAGGTGCAGAGGGAGGGGGTTTCCAAGAAAACATCATGGACAAGGGGACATTTAAGCTAAGATCTAAAGAAGTTGGAGCATGGTGGTCTTTCCAGACTGAAGAATAAGGTTGAACAAAGAGAGAGCAGCTGGGAAACATCCTGGGGTGTTCATGAGGATACAGGCCACCCAGGCTACCTAATGTATAGGTTCTTAATAGGCAAGAAAAAGAACTGGAATGGAAAGCAGTTCCTGTTTGTGGAAATGTGGTGCTTCCCTGCTGTCGAAGGGGTCGGTCTTCTTTCGGTCCCTGCAACCTGCAGGAGGCCAGCACGGAGACCCGAATATCACTGGGCTCATTAACACACTGTGTCCCCAGCTGTAAAAGGGGGACAATGATGCTATGAGGGGTCTGACTTGCTTCATTCGGCACCTAACCCATCCTGAGTGCTCAATAAATACTTGTATGATTTAGTGTCTGTGATAGCAGTGGAGACAGGAATTGATCTGTGAATTTTGAGGAAGGACAGAGCTATTTAGGCCACAGAAGTCAGGAGAGGGTCTTTTTTCCTTTCTTCAGCACTGCATTCCACAGAAATTTAGTGAGTGCCTGTTTTGTGCCAGGCATTCTGCTAAGTCCTGGGGGTACCCTGTGAGCAAGGCAGGTGGGAGCCCTGCCTCAAAGAGCTTGCAGTCAGGCGAGGAGGACAGAGCAAGGACAGGAGGGGATGGGCACAGCCTGAGCAGGAAAGAGCAAGGGGGTACATTAGGGCATTCAGGGTGGGAGGAGATATGGCCATAGGACCAGATGGGGAGAGGCAGGATGAAGGACTGGTTTGGAACTCTCCCGACAAAAAGGAGCAAGGCTTTGATCAGACCCTGGAGAGGAGTGATTTATGAAGTCACACTGGGGGAGGAGGGGGGAACAAAAAATAAATAAGTAAAATGAACAATCCACAGCAAATAACGTTAAGGAGGCTAAGAAAAAAGTAAATAGAGAATTCCATGTTTTTCACTATAAATCAGAAGGTGGTTCCAAAAAATTGTAAAGGTATGTGTTGGGGAGGGTGCAGTGCTAAGGATATCTCTATTTATATAAGTTTATGTTAAAATACCACAGGGCTCCTTAATTTCTTCACAGGGTTCATGTTTTGACTCTTGAGAAATTCTTTTTAGAATATAATTCTTTGATTTTCAAAGTTAGTGGAGGTGTGAGTCAGTTTTTTTTCCCCATTTGAAAATGAAGTTGAGAAAAGGGTCAGCTGTAGTCTCACCCTAATAGGAGGAATTTTCTGAAGAAGCTTGTCAGATTACGAGAAAATGCTCGAATCTCAGCCAGTGTCCCCCGGCCTATGGGACTATTCTCTCAAGACAGCAGAAAAGAGATAGGAAAACTTCACCCTCGTCTCCCTGGCATCACCGAAGGCCATGCTGAGGACTTGATAAATCCAAACTCGATAAATTTGAGTCACAGATGTTAAGTCTTTGTGGGATGTTGCTGTTGCTTTTCCTGTTGGATATATTTCACTTTCCATTCAAAATTAAATTGCACTTTAAGCTTTAAGAAACTGTAAAATATTGTGGTATTAAACGGTTTCATTAACCATCTAAAACTCTACTTCCCATTAGGATTGATTTCTTTTCACTGAGTAAAATATCTCTTTGTACCAAGGTCTGGAAATAGTCATATTCTCTCTCTCTCCTTCCTTCCTTCCTTCCAGGGATCACTATTTGTGTGACGTCACATGGGCAACACAAGAAAGGATTTCTTTGCAGTGGCTCAGGAGGATTCAAAACTATTCAGTCATGGATATCTGTGACTATGATGAGTCCACTGGAAAATGGAATTGCTTAGTGGTAAGACTGAATGGGGATGTTCTGCTTCTAAAGCAACGTGTGCTCGGAGGGCTCTGTGAAATCAGAGAGAATGAAGGGTGGGGATCAGGAAATGAGGTTTGAGTTTCTCTTCTTTCTGTCTCTGACCCTGAGGCAGTGGGTAAGGCTTGACTAACTGTTAGATAACATGACATCTCGGGGTGGCTCTGTTTCCCTTTGCTCACTAGTCATACTGTTTGAGTAGTGGATGCCATCACTTGGGAAAGGGTGACTGGGAACCCAGAGGATGGAATCTGATATCAATATTCAAAACACCAAAGAGGGCCAGGGGCTGCAAGGTCGATGAAGGGTGTTTCCATAGAGAAAATATGGGGAATGGGGCTGAGATGTGAAACAAAACAAATATCAAGAGGCCACACATTCATTACTATTTTTAAGCAGGAAACAGCTTTAGAACTTTAACAGCCCATCTGAGAGGGCGGCAACTCTGAAGCAATCTCAAGTGTTAGTCCAACCTTGAGGTGCTGGGGGATTTTCAGACAGAAGACCCTGAGGTCCAGCCAGGCTGCTGGATCCAAATTAAGCCCCTCTGGGAGCCAGCAGCCTCAGGACAAGTAGAGCCTGGAAGAGGTTTGCTGCACATGCCACGGACACTCTACAAGCCTCCTTCTCTGCTAATGGGCCCTGTGCCACACACCTCCCTTCCCTGCTCCCAGCCTGGCCAGGCACAGGGCAAATTGTCACCTCAGAGAGCCTGAGCACCACGTGTCCTGATTCACTTATTCATTTATTTATGAAATAAACATTGAACACCTGTTATATTCCAATCTCTGTGCTAAGCTATGGACATTAAAAAAAAAAAAAATAGACAGCATGCCTGTCCCCAAACTGTTTCTGTTCTAGTAGGGAATACCATTATGAAAATAACCCATATTAGTTGCCATTTATTGAACACTTAAGGCTCAGTAAGTTTAAGGAGCTTACTCAAGTTACAGGACACAGCCAGAATTCAAACTGCAAAATCTAAGCTCTTTGCTTCCTGCCAATTAAATTATAATATCAGGCTATTGTGCCATGCAAGGGTTTCAGCAAGGTGCAGAGGGAATGTAGGGCAGAAGAAAAGGAGCAGCTCTATAGGGGCAGGCAGAGTGGGGCAGGGAGATAACATGGAGAGATCTAGAGTGGTCTGGGACAAGTGGCCGTGTGCTGGGCGGATGAGGCAAGGGGCCTATGTAAGCAGAGGGCTGAGCAAAGATATCCAGTGTGCAGAGCCTGAAGCATGCAGGGACTGTGGGCACCTATGACTAGGCTTGGGGGAGAAGAACAGTGGTGAGAACAGAGGCTAGAGATACAGGCTAAGGCCCAGGTGCTCTTGTGAGGAGGCTGGACTTAACTTGTAAGAAATGGGGAGCGGCTGCAAGGTTTTAAACAGGAGAGCATTACAGTGAGATAGAACTGCCTGTTGCTGGGGGCCGAGCCAGGTGGAGAGTAGACTGGAAGGAGAGAAGAGCAGCAGGATCTCCCAGAAGGAGGAGGGGAACCTGCTGAGGACATGAGAGAGGGCAGTGGTGGTGGAGAAGGACAGAGAAACCAAAGATCCAGGCGACAGGGGCTGAGAGAGTGGCTGTGAAGAGTGGGGAACTAGAGTGACTGGCTTGGGTAAGTAGGTGCCACTAAGTAGGAGACTGAGGGTTTGAGAGCAGGCTGGGGGCGGAGGTGGGGGGAGGAAGAGGAAATGGAATGAAATTATCTTTGGTTCTGTACATGTTGAATTAAAAATGCCAAGGGAGCTTCTAGGACAGTGTTTGGGTGTGGACCTGCCACAGAGCTCTGGGCACGAGAGGTAAATGAGCTCATGTAATTATATGAAAAATACTAATGTAAATGAAAACGTATGATGCGGATAGTTTTCAGTTATTTTGTTATAAGCAGCATTTTGTGTGTATTACCACGAATTATGGCTAAAGAGTAGATTTCATCATCTTACTTCTCTTTGAAACATTTTCCTTGTACTTTTCCCTTCCTAGGCACGGCAGCACATCGAAATGAGTGCTACTGGCTGGGTTGGCAGAGTAAGTGTTATGGGGTTTTATGTGCTATGGGTCAGCTACTCGGAGATGTTTAATATGTAGATATTCCAAACTAGGGCTCTATGTTTTTTGTTCTTAATAGAGATATTAGTTGACCTAATTTAGTCTAAAATAATTAAATGCTCCCTGTAGAGATATCTTTTTATAGAGAATATATAACATTTTCAGTTGGAAAAAGTAAGGGCACAAGTAAAGAAACCAAGAACAGAGCACACAAAACAAAGCACATACTCTAGGCAAATTCTACCTCCAGTAAGTTAAAAAGCAACCGTTGCTGAAAGGCAGCCAAGATGCCAAATATGCTCATTGACCTCATATCTGAAGTTATGTGCTTTAAAGGCAGAAAACATGGTTTCTGTCCCCAACCTGCACAAATGCCTAAGGAGATGTGACTACAATCAGCAGAAACTCTGCAGCAACCATGCAACACCCACCATGCAGCTCTTTGGGGAGGAAGTCATACTCATGGGATCACAGTTTATTAGGCACCTAGATGCAGGCTTTAGCCAGGAAAGCATGTGACCCTCAGGGACTTCTTTGCGCATCTCTCTCCCACTGTGTTCCATGCACCTTACACAGAATTACCAACCTCACGGCTGCAAGTGCATACAATGAAGCAAGTCGATGAAGGAACTCTAGCCATCGTGACACCTCACACAAACAATGAATCTGACCTAATTTTTATGACCACTTCTATTCAGCCCCCTTTAAGAGGGAAACAAAGTGACTCCCAAAATGTGAAGATTTCACATCTCTTAGGTCACAGAGGTGATGACCCTTTCCAGTTGGGCTCAGAGCTCCTCCAGTAGTACTTGCAGGTCCTTTTTCTTCAGGCATTGATTGGGCAGAGGAGAGAGGTTTGCCAACATGAAAAGTGGTTTCCTCCATGGCAAGAGACACGCTACACTTCCTCACGACTCTTTGAAAAAAATATGTTTTTTCCTCTCTGTATTTAACCAGACAGATGCCACTTTTCACACATTTCTACTAGGCACAACTCCATCCAGGGGAAACAGGGAAATGTATTAAAAAGATAAGGCTGTGAACACAGGTCTAGAGAGGGGAATGTGTTTCAGAGCTCTGTAATGAGAACACCAAGTGTACTGCGCGTCTCAGCTTGCTCCATAAATGAATTCACTTTGAATCACTAAATAGAAGAGGGAAGCATTTTTCTTCCTTCCCAAAATGGGAGCCGATGAGCGAGGAAACATCAAGGGTGCAGTGAACCAACAATTTTAAAAGACCATCTCCTACCTGATTTCAAATGTAACTAGGAAATCGAAATTGTAAAGCAACATATTCCTTTCAGGCTGGGATAGACACTCTTCTACTTGAACTATATTATGTTCTGAGTACTATCTTTTACTGAACTGTAAAAAAATGGAAATTTTGTTCTCTATTTCTATACAACTATTTTTTGTAAATTGCTGATCATATTTAACAAAATGAAAAGGCTTATAATAAAAATAACTGTATGAATGTTTCTGTGTAAAATGTACAACAGACATTCCTTATGGTAATTAGTCCAGAAATGGTTAAAGATTACCTAAGTCTGACTTTCAAAAAGATAAATGTGTAAAAACAGGAAAGAAAAATTCCCCCAAATTACAAAGCCCTCCAACCTGAAACAGTCAATAATAATGTCTATTTCAAGAAAGCACATTTATGACACTGAGGAAATTTATTTCTTGAAACTGAAAGGTTAATGCTGTTTTCTTCACACTTAAAGCCAGAAGTCACAGTTATCCTCCATAGAGAGTAGATGCCCCAAAATAACAGTAACCGCTTCTGTTTACTGAGTGTCCTCAGCAAGGATCTTATGTGCATTCTCTCATTTACTCCTCACAAAGAATTACCTATGTTTGGCCTTTTTGTCTGCATTTTATGGAAGGAGAATTTTCTCTCTGAGACTCTCTGGTTTCATTTGGCAAGTACATAAAGCAGTTTTTGAGCATAGGGGTTGGAGAGGACTTTCTAAAACTAAAGTTGGTACTATAATTTTTTTTTTTGTTCTCTATTATGTTTTAGTTTAGTCCTTCAGAACCTCATTTTACCTCTGACGGTAACAGCTTCTACAAGATCATCAGCAATGAAGAGGGTTACAAACACATTTGCCATTTCCAGATAGATAGTGAAGTGAGTATTCTTACATAATTCACTTCAGGTTGACCTCCTCTTTTTGAAACTAACTTGAAGTGGAAATCATTTAGTAAAGTTGGTCAATGTGTGCAAATAATCAGACTGATTCAAATTCCTCAATGGCATACAGGGTAAGGTGGGATGGGGTAGGAGGTCCCAACCAGAAAACCCAAGGCTACTTGAATTCCTAATATAAATGATTTAATCCTCCACTTAACTTTGATTAGAGAGACCGTCTAATAAATCTCTTTTTAAAAAAACCCATCAGAACTGCACATTTATTACAAAAGGAGCTTGGGAAGTCATTGGGATAGAAGAACTTACCAGCGATTATCTGTAAGTATTCTAATAATGGATAGTATATAAACCTACTTGTCATTATCACGCCCTCTTTGCCTAGAAGTAAGGAAAAATCTTCTACAAATAAAGAGTAGTGTATTTGGAATGTGTTCAATACTTTTCTCTTTTTAACATACGGAAGCCTTAATGATTTTCGCACGTGCTCGGCAGACTTGATACCATGCCACCACGCAGCTCTACCTCTTGCTCTTACCTGCTTTCCATTGCAAGAGCTGCAGCCTCTTTTACTTGACATCGTGGAATGCTGAAATAGCATTCAGGGGCATTTTGTTAAATTTCAGCTGGCACTAAATTTTTGGAAGGCTTGGAATGGCAATTTTATCTGTCCATGCCTCGGCCTTACCCTTTGATAAATGGAAGCTTTGCAGAGGCTGTCATCGATCAAATATGAGTTGGTGGAAAAGGCAGTGTTATTTTTCATCAGAATTTTAGGCACTTTTATGATTCTTTGCTCTTATCATGGAGGCATTTTGCCACTGCCCGAAGTAATTTTGGAAGACGCTCTTTAGAAGTGGCTCTGCCCTCTCAGGAAGGTGGGGTCTTGCCATCTGGTAGCTTGTGTTGTAAGGCAGAAAATACAGAAAACATGGTCTCAATTTCAAGCTAGTTGTTCAGTTATATTTTTCTTACAAAAGACTTGAGTTTTTACTTTTCATTTTAATGAAGGAAGAAATCCTTGGTTTCACATATTTTAGTCTGTTTAGAAAAAATGGAGAGATGATAGAGAAAAGTGGCTTCTGGGGGGCAAGAGGGCAGGAAGCAACGACAGAGAATGGCAAGACCTGAAGGCACGTGCACTTCTGCCTGGTGTTTGAGCGCAGGGATGTGTATCTGACTTTGGAAAAAACATAATTAACATGCATTTCATTTGTTTTCTTTCCAGATACTACATTAGTAATGAATATAATGGAATGCCAGGAGGAAGAAATCTTTATAAGTAAGAACTCTGTCAAGTTGTTGACCTGAGTCTTTCTAGCTGATGAACAATGTCTGGACCTTTTTTTTTTTTCTTTTTGCCTTGTCCTCACTAATTTTAAACTGGAATTGCTAATGAGCACTTTTATTCCTTCATACATCTATCTGCATGTCAACAAAAGTGAATGACTTTATTAGATGTTTTGCAATATTTCCAAACGGTGAGAGGTTTGGGTTTTATTAATTCACATTATTTATTTCACATTTAAAAAAAAGAGTTCTGAGGATTACTTTGGCATTTTGATGTCTCAGAAACTACAACAGGGCACAATCCCATTTTTTCCTCATTTATCCTTTCATCAAGCACTTAATTTCCACTGTTGGTTTTACAGAATCCAACTGAATGACACAAAAGTGACGTGCCTTAGTTGTGAGCTGAATCCAGAAAGGTGTCAGTACTATTCTGTGTCGTTTAGTAAAGAGGCAAAGTATTATCAACTGAGATGTTCGGGTAAGTTCAGGCTGACCTGGAGGGAGGGCAGAGTGGCTGTGACTCACATGTCCCCTGCTTCCTCCATTCCCCTGAGCCTGGGCGCTTGACTTCTCTTTGCACACACCAGCCAATGTGTCCTCCTCTCTCTGGACAACCTTCTCACCACTCTCCTGGCCCAGCCTCCCATGCCTAAGGTGTCCCTTCCTGTAACCAGTTTGGGAAGCATTCCTCTCTGCTCAGTTCTCTCCTTTTAAACCTGAGGAACTCTTGAAATCACCTAAGTCCTCTCTCTGTACTCACGCTGAAGTGGTGAGTCCAAACCACCTTTTCTTTCCCTTCTAACCAAGAGAGTTGCATAGTGTGCTTTAGAGTGAACACACATGCACGCACGCACGCACACACACACACACACACACTCTCTCCTTATGTATAAACAGAGCTGCGTAGAACAGAAGCACTTCATCCTTGTGTATATACATATTGTGGGAATTTTATTATTGTTTTATGCACTTGCCCCTTGAAATGAGAAAAATGCATGTGGGTACCTGTCACCCATGATGCTCACTGCTCTATCTTCTGTTGCTTTTGCTGTTATTTATGATAAATGGAGAATCCTGGGCAGGGAGAGGAAAAGTGACTCGTGCAGGTCACACAGCTAGTTACAGGCATAACAGGATTCAAACACAGGCCTCTGCCTCCCAAACCCTCCCTTTTAAACACTGCACCAGGTTACTTCTTGAATTGAGAGAAAGAATCTGGAAATTCTGCAAAGTAGTGACAATAGGAAAAAAGAGGTCTCCAAGCCAGTTATTTAAATCTTTCCTCACCGGTATATTTTCTTTCTTGGTATGATTTTTCTTATGGTTCTTAACTATGGCTACTTTTAGTCAACATTTCTTGGGCATGTGCTCTGTGCCAGGCACTGTTAAAAACTTTATATTTATGATCTTGTTTAATCCTTAGGAAAACTCTCTATAGTATTGTCCTCACTTTATATGTGAGGAAATTGAAGCATAGATATGTTCTAAGTCTCACAGGAAGTAAGCTGGGATTTAAACCCAGGTCTGTATAGTGCCTTCATGGTGGCTCTGATCAAGTGTAAAAATTAACATGATCATTCAAATGCATCAAAATTAAATAGCTCACAAAATAGCTTTTCTATACATTACCTTCCACTCTGCAACTACCACAGTTGGGATAAACAGTGAAGATATGGGCTTGTGAGAAAAACACTTTTGCATGCCAGAAAGGAATTGCTTATCCAAGTCAGGCACTGTGCAGATGTGCCGCCTGGCTCCAGGACCAAGCGGGAGTGGGGGCAGCAGGGGAGCCTGCCCCCTCCTGAAGGAGGACAGGGCCTGAGGGATGGTGTGGTCATCTGCGATCATTGGTTTCAAGTCAGGAAGGGTAGTGCTCTTATTTTAGCTCACTGATAAGGAAACTGGGCGCACAGATAACACGGCCACGACACCCAGCAGGGAATAGGTTCATTTCCCCTTCATTCGACTGAGCCCGATGCCTTTGCAGTAATGCTTCTTACACTCAAATTGCAATTATTTAAAAAAAGAAAAAAAGTGGTGAAAAGCTAACATTTATTTAGCTTCTTATCCACTATGATACTTCTTATTATGTGTTTTATCAAAGTTACATGGTTAACAAATGATATTTTTGAAAAGTCATGTATTCGATCTTGTTTTTTAAAAATATTCATCTAAAATATATTTTTTTCCCTGTTTATGTTAACAGGCCCTGGTCTGCCCCTTTATACTCTGCATAGCAGCTTGAATGATAAAGGTATTTTCTCATATTTTTACCCTTGAATTGCTTTCAGGAAAATGCGTGTAAATTGAACCAACATATACTTAGCATTATGTGATTTTCTTTGGTTTTAGAATGTTTTAACAATGACTTGACCATAAGGCTTATACCTGAAGTATGTATAGTGGGATCAGTGAATTTCGTGTTTGCTTATTATTCCATTGCATAATCCAGATTCTTCACATTGTTAACGAATTACTGCTGTCTCGTGTACTTAGAACTAAGAGTCCTGGAAGACAATTCAGCTTTGTATAAGATGCTGCAGGATGTCCAGATGCCCTCAAAGAAAGTGGACTTCATTATTTTGAATGGAACGAGTAAGTTAAATTTCTGTTGAATAGTACTTTTCGTGGAAACAACAATAAAATATAACTATATATAATAATTAGATTTGAAAATATGCATTTCATAGTATATATAACTCTAATTTAGAAGGTCATTTTTCTATGAAATGTTGTCACAAGAAATACTAGCTTTGTATTCTTTTGTCCTAAATTATAATACCATTCTATGTAGAAATTTATTCTGCCAAGAGGAAAGGTATTTGGAGGAAATGCACTATTGTTAGTTCAGTTTCCTAACCTTAGTAACTCTGTTCTTCTAGTGAGTATTAGTTGTATATTTAACTTAATGATATCCTAATATATTTCACTTTTAACCCAAAAAGATAAAAAATTTCTGAGATGATCATAATAAAAAAACTTAGGGTCAGCTATAAAATGTTGAAATTTCAGTCTCGGGATAGAAATCTGGAGTTTTTTCTAACCTTCCTCACCTTTCAGAGTTAGCCTGGTCCCTGGCCTGGTAACTTAATCATGGATTATATTCAGAGACTGCTAAGAACAATGAATTTCTTTGAGTAGAAAATCTTGTTAATTGTTATTTTTATTTGTTTTTCTACTAAAAGCTAACTAACAACTTATAAGGGAGGGGAGAATTCATCGGGATGGATTTACTTTAGATTTTTTTTTAAATTATGATAACAGAAAATATTCAACTCGTGTAATTTTAAATGTCAGGAAAAGCACTAGAAAGTAGAGAGCACTCGAAGAGCAGTTCAAAGCAGTGCTACCCAAACTAAATGTGCATGTGAGTCCCCTGGGACTTTGTTAGCATGCATATTGGGACCCAGCAGGTCAGGGTGGGTTCAGAACTCAGCATTTGCAATAAGCTTCTAGTTGATGCCAGTGTGGCTGGCCCTTGAGCCACGCGTGAGTGGCAAGAGCTTAGAGTTTACCAGAGCTAACGCTGACAGCCTGCTGCACAAGGCAGTGAATACTGAAATGTGATGTTCTATTTCTGGTGGTAAACAGTGGGAGCCCCTGATGGTTTTAGGGTCAGGGAAGCAACATGATTAGATGATGATTAGATGGATAACTTGATAGGGAGTGTAGGATGGAGCTGCCAGAGTGGGGGTTCCCATTGGGAGGTGGTTATAACCATTCAAACTGCAGAGTAGGAGGGTAAAAAGGGGGAGTCCAAGAGAAGGGAGTGGGGAAGGTGGGACTATGGGAATAGAAGGAAACCTCCAAAGAAAACACTGCAGCCTCAAAACAGTAGAATTAAAATACCTCCTAGTCAACTAGTGCTGATTCAAACAAAGCAGAGATCAAATGGTGGGTTTGGTATATTCGTTAAAAATATTATGGTTAACTGTTAGTTTGACATGCTATTGAAATTATAATAGAGCCTTAAATTTTTGTTCTTACAAGCACATTTAATCAGGAGGCATAATAATAATCAGCAGAATATAAATTGAAGTGAAATTTATATATTTTACTCCTAAATTTTTCTTTTCTCCTCAACTAAAATAATTGTAATAAACAAACAAAACAATAAGGAAGACAAATGTTAGGAAGAACCAGCCCTAGAGATAAGAATTTTTTTGTCTACATTTTAAACTACTGAAAGTGGAAATAATCTTATTAAAATATGGAATAAACTTATTTTTGTTTTAGATTTATTAGCCTAACTCATCTTTAATTTGGAAGCAAAGGAAACTGATTCATTATTTGGGGACAAATTTTATTAAACTGATGTTAAATCAAGCACAGAGAATTAAACAGATCGTGGAAGATCATACAGAATGTACGCAACAGTTTGTTCCATATAAACCCGATTTCATTTTGTGAATCACAGAGATGAAATGGGAAATCAGCTCTGCGGTCTGGGGTGGCAATAAGAATTACAAAAATGTTATTAAATCAAAATTTTAAAATAGAGTTGAGGCCAACCTAAAATCCTAAACCGCTTCAAGGAAATTCAAGAGGAGGAAAACATTTTGGAAGAAAACTTAGAGCATAAGCCATAAACAAACTAGATAAGTAGTTCAGATGCCAAAGAACAGAATCATAAAAACAAAACATTAGAAATTCTAAGATGCACTTTTATTTTACAAGGCACCAATGTATTTAATGGATACATTGGAAACAACTTTATTGTTCTAACATTAACTAGTATTTTAACCTGAAAAGTAATGTTTTTTATATCTTACAAACATGCTGAATCCAAGCAGTTCATTTTCTTTTTCTACTCTAACAAATTGTTAAATTCTAGACATGATTTATCACACAGAGAAAAGGAACAAAATTTTGTGCTAATCATTGTTCATAACTCACTAATTAATCTTTCTGTTTGTTTAGAATTTTGGTATCAGATGATCTTGCCTCCCCATTTTGATAAATCCAAGAAATATCCTCTACTATTAGATGTGTAAGTATTCAAGAGGAGAGAGCAATTTAGAAGTTAACGTCATATATTTTTCACCCAGTGCAGGTTACTGAAAAATAAAGCCAAATGCATCCTTTCTCTCTTCCTGAATTACCGTTTACTGTTTCCTCCTTGCATTTTGCAATCACAAACCCCAACCCGTGTTTTCTCCCATCTTCTTAATAGAGAAGGTAGACACCTCTGCTGTCATAATGGCATATGATTTTCTTTTGATCTGTTTCCCTAAACCTCAAGGGGATGCCAAAGGAATTCCTAAGTCCCCATTTTCATCCTTACCAATGGACATTTTATACGAGATGGGCATTAATTAACAGCCATCACTATTTCCTTACCCTCCAGTTTGTCCAAACAGCTCCCATCAGTTGCATTTGACTCATTAGGACCTCAAGTTTCTCTTCCTTTAATTCCTGAAATATCACTGCCTGGTATTTTCCATTCCCTTTTTTGTTGAAAAAAAGTGATATAGGGAGTTTTCATTATAATCCAAATTTCTTAAGTCTTAGAGAAGGTTCTGAAATCACAAGTCTTTGAACAGTAAATGTGAGTTCTAAATTTGGCAACTACATAAAATATTTCTGATAATTTTTAGGAGTACACTTTAATCTTTTTAAAGTTGCCCTGGTCTCACCCATAAGGCCACCAAGCCACCCTCTTCCTGTCCTAGCTTGCATTATTTCCTTTATTAAAAACAAACCAACAAATGTGCTGGGTGCCTGCCAGGTGCTTAGTATAATTTGTCTTATTTTATTCACACAAAAAACTAAAGTGGTGAGTTCTCCTTTCAAAATTTTTTTTAAAATTTTTAATTGACACATAATAATTGTATGTATTTATGGGGTACTGTGTGATACTTCAATACATGCATACAATGTGTAACGATCAAATCAGGTTAATCAACATATCTATTTCCTCAAATATTTATCATTTCTTTGTGATGGGAACATTCAAAATCCTCTCTTCTAGCCAATGCAAAGCATACAATAAATTGTTGTTACTTATAGTCACCCTACAGTGCTATGGAACCCTAGATCTTGTCCATCCCATCTAGCTTTAATTTTGTATCCCTTAACCAACCTCTCGTTATCCTGCCTCCACCCCCCACCCCAGCCCTTCCCTGCCCCTGGTAAGCCCTATCCTACTCTCTACTTCTATGCCATCAACCTATGTGGGGAGTTCTATTGGCCCATTATATGGAAGAGAAACTGAAGTTTAGGGATATCATTTTTCTGTTATTCCTAGCAACAACAACAACAAAAAGGCATATAGATATTAGTATCAGACACAGCTTTATCCCACTATATTTACAATTCTATGAAAACTAAACATAAAAGCACCAAAATAGGAAAAGACAGGTATTTTAAATAACCCGGATGTGCTATTTGATTTTCATTAAACCTAATTTTGACTTAATGAAGTAAAATTCATTAGTGACACTGACTTGTTTTTGCTTTAGCTCCAATACTAAAAAACATCATTCAGAAAACAGCGCCATTCTTATCTCCTTTGACTCCCTAGTAAGTAATGATTAGACCTCACTTTTATTAGGAAAGGTTAAAAAAATAAATAAAAGTTAATTTAGTGCCCATTTCTTTTCAGTTATTTTCCTCCTCCCCTCTTTTGAGGTCTAAATTTTGTTTTTTATTTTTAAAAGTAATCTAGTTTAATCTTGGGGTTGGGTAACTTGATACATACCTAATATGGCAAGCTCTTAATCTACCAGAGTTAATATCATTGAGAGGGCCAAAGCATTTCACATGTTGTTAAAAAAATGCTTACTTGCCCAGGAAATGCATAAACACATTCTCTTGCTTAAAGTTAGAATGCTATGATACTTAGTTTAAAATTAAAACAACATAGTAATTTGTTTAAAATGAAAGTTCTTTTGACTGCCATCCCTAAGAAGAGGGGGAGAAACATTAGCAAAGACATATAAGCAGGACTTGCTTGATCCTATGTGACGGACAGTAAGCAGATGAGTAGAAGAGATGGGCTGGGGAGGGGACAGTTATTGGAGATCTTGTAGGCGGTGCAAAGATGACATGTTTAAATGAGTTGCAATGAGCTATAGAAAGCTTTTCGTGATTAACAATCAGAAATCAGAGGGCTTGACAGAGATTGTGCACACGGCTATGTGTGTCGTAGATTGCAGCCTGTGAAAATTGCAGACACAACGGAGTTAAACTAGTTAGTAGATAGAATGATAAAGAACATACCTATTTTCCAATACAACCTATTTCTTTCTCCTTTGAAGTTTAAGTAAAAGTGTTCATTCACACTTTGGTCCATTCCACAGTGATTTATGGGGTCTCAGTGTGAGCACCACTGTGCTGGTGCTGCAAGAAATGCAAAGCACATGATGCAGCAGTCAGTCAAAGTCCTTAAGGAAGTTCCGACCTAGGAAATAAACTGATAGTCTGGGAGTATTTGTAAGCTGAGATGGAAAGGTACATTCAAAGCTGCATTTATTGTCATCATCATTATTTTTTTTATAACACAACTTCCCTATCCCAATTATCTGAGAAATTATCTTTGATTTCCAAGACTATATAATACTTAAAAAATGTTGGCTTATGAAGTGTGTTTGATAACTATCTGTAGAGGTAAAACTGATAGATATCTTTGAAGGAAACACACAGCCATTATAGTTGCATTGCCAAGTTCTAGCACCATTTCAGGCTCCTGATGGAGGAAGATGTACCCTTCTTGTCCACAGGGAGGAGAAATGCAAACAGTCTTCACTTGATTCAGGAAAATCATGGAGGCTAACAATTTGGGATTTTTTACAGATATGCAGGCCCTTGTAGTCAAAAAGCCAACGCTGCCTTCACACTCAGCTGGGCCACTTACCTTGCAAGCACAGAACACATTATTGTAGCTAGCTTTGATGGCAGAGGAAGTGGTTACCAAGGAGACAAGATCATGCATACAATATACAGAAGACTGGGAACGTTTGAAGTTGAAGATCAAATTGAAGCAGCCAGGTGAGTGACTAGGAGATGAATTCAAAGGTCATCTGATTATTTTCCCTCAGCTTATATTTTAAAGTTGTTAAATGTAAAGTGTTCTGGGATGAATTTGTTATTTTTGATCCTGGTAGTAGGCTTTTAGTGAAGATATTATGTTTAGTTAAAAATGTATGTCATTATAGATTTATATGAAGTTTTTTTTAAAAAAGGATTTCCTAAATTCCTCTCTGTATGTGACTCTAGAAAGGGAATTGATATATGTGCTACCACTTTCTAAGAACAGAGTCTTGAAATTCATTAAATACTTGGACATATTGAGGAATAGATGTATCTTGAGTACACATCTCACTACAATCAACACCATCCCTTCCAGTCAAGGATAAGTAGAGGAGCTCAGTGAATATGTACATAGTAGGGGGTGACAAGTATGAAGTCCTAGGAGTGTCTCCTACAGTATGGATGAGAATGACTCTTCTGTTTTGGGAAACTTTGGAGCATAACCATCATCAGTCACAATTATTAAGGCCTCATTAAGTATGACTCATCTCATTTCTTATGCTCTCCACTTATAGGACTATGAAAAGATGTGATCTTTTAATTATAAAACATGGATACCCCCTAATAAAATATACATATAATTTGGGAAGTATTTTACATGCAGTCATTGTCATTGAAGCCTTGGGAGGTGGGTGTACTTACCCCATATATCAGGTAAAGAAATGGAAGCTCTTAGGTTAGGTAATTTGCCAAGGTAAATCAGGATTTGAATCCAGTCTCATTCCAACTCCTACATTTAATTACTTTTAACTGGCAAATGGGAAACATAACTTTGAGTCTATAGTACACCAACTTCGTGAATGTCTCGGGAAACATAATAAGTGGAGTAGTTTAAAGTAATGTGAAATCATAGACTAAGGAATGCAGAAATAGTCATGAATTATTAAGTGGATGAAGAAAAATGCCTTTGTGAAAAAGAATAACCAAAGAGAAGAAGAGAATGTGACAATTTATTAGGTATCCTTAAGTGAATGAAATTCTCTTAAGCCAAAGATAATAATTAGCTATTTTCCTTACAATTAAAAAATAGTAATTTAAATTAGACCAAAGTTAAAGTTATTCAAGAGTGAGGCTTTGATATTTAAAAATAAATTTTTATCTATCCAGACTGGTTCTCTGTGAAAGAGAGCATAGTTTCCAGGGCCTCTCAAATCCAACTGATGAAAGCCCTAAAATTACAGAATTGAGTATTCATGACATACAACAGCAGTTTAAAAAGTAATGAGATGTAGTGTATTCATACAATGGAACACATTTTCAGTGACTAAAAAGAGCTATGCACAATAATGTGGATGAATCTCACAAACACACTGTTAAATGAAAGAAGCCATCCTGCACAATCCTATTTATATAAAGTTCAAAATCAGGGACAAATTCAGGTAAGATTTTTATGAAATCCAATAAGAGAAAAACATTTCATTTTTTTCTCGTTACAAGGAGGGCGATGATCCAGAGGCTTGTGACAGCATGTACAGGTTTTGGTTTCAAAGATAGGTTCACTTTGCAAATGTTTAATCAAGTCATATACTCATGATTTGGTGCATATTTCTATATGTATCTTCATCAACTTTAAAGGTTTATATGGAGAAGATAATGAGTTGAAAACTTTTTTTTTGTTTTTTTCTAATATTGTTTAACTTAGGACACAAACCATCAATCGAAACAGACTGTCAAGGTCACATATAGGTCAATGGAAGGATCCCCTTAACCCCCCACAATACTACAAAGTTAAGAGTCCCATTTGCCAGATTTTGTTACGTAAAAAAATTTCCTTTTGCTGTAAGGCTAAGATTAAGAAATAGGTGCATAAAACATTTTTCTCATTTCCGTACCTGGATTTCAATCCTCAACACAGTTTAGTGGCAAAAAGACTTCTCAATCCATCAAGGAAAAATTGCTATTTAATGGTGCTGAGCATAATCAACACCCAACATAAGAAGGGATTTATTTAGAGAATGGTTTTTAAATTCTCAGGTAGGGGGCCCAGAGACATTTCTAAGCCCTACCCAGATGTTCTCTATGCCCTTAGCTTTCTCCACTGCAGGGGCAGACTCTCTCAAACTGAAAAACATCTGGAGAGATTTAAATTCAATTATGTACAGAAAAGTGCATCTGGGCTGCAAATTTTTATATAAAGCTGTGAAAAAAAACTGCCAGGATTTGTTTTCTGTGAATCATACACACACATACACACACACACACAATTTTTATGGACTCCAACAAAAGTAAACCTTGTTCATCTGGATCTTAAGTTAAAATGAGAGGCATTTATCTCAGGTGTTTTAGATTGCTGGCAGCAATTCATCCTAGCTTCTAATAGAATGAAAAAGAGAACAAATGGCAGGGTTTCACATTTGTGCAGTTATCTTAGTTTTCTTTACACAGTGCAATACTGATTTGTGGATTTCTTCTACGTGTTTTAGACAATTTTCCAAAATGGGATTTGTGGACAGTGAACGAATAGCCATTTGGGGCTGGGTGAGTTATTTGACTGATGAATCTGTATGCATTCCTTAGTGACTATAACCCAGAGCATGTTAATTTATCTTTTGTAAGTAAATATTTAGAGGTGAAAATCATGTCTATGAAGTCTTAGGTCTCTGGGCAATGACGCCCTAGAGTCTCTACTGAGCCAGGGTTCCACTTTCTTTATTATGATGAGGAAGGGAGGTGAAGAAGAACGAGCAAGAGGGAGGGAGGGAGGGAGACTTTTTCTCTTTCTCATCAAAGTCAGTAAAAATTTTGTGTTTGGTTATGTTTTTTCCCCTTTCAATTTAGTATTACCCAGTCACCAGGGTCAGCTTTTTCTATGCTTTTCTCTCCCATGCTTTTTCCCCTTCATTGTCTGAGAAAAGGGACCGGGGATCTGAAAGTGTAGTCTTTAGATATTGTCCAATTAAGGCCAATTTAAGCCTCCTATACCATGCTTTCTGTCTCTAAAGAGGCACGGTATATAAAGATGTGAGAAATGTGGGACTGCGACTCGCTTACCATATGTCCTTATTCCTTTACCTCCATAAAAATAACTGTTTCTATTCCTTAGTCATATGGAGGGTACGTCACCTCAATGGTCCTGGGATCGGGAAGTGGTGTGTTCAAGTGTGGAATAGCCGTGGCGCCTGTGGCACGGTGGGAGTACTATGGTATGTAATTGCTGTCAAGTACAAAGAGATACTGAGTGTTGACCTTAAAGTCCCAGTAACAAAATCATTTCCTTTTGAGTTTCAGTGTTTCTATAGCAAATAGCAGGCTGATTCATCTTAGAGATACTTATGATAAGAGGATTTCATTTATTCTGCTATTGTGCAAGGCTGGGCGGTGTTTTATGTTACCTACACATTTAGTTTATCAACAAATTCTGTTTTCTTACCAACAACTTTCAAAACAGCCCTATCACTACATTTCTAGAGATAAACCTTTTCTTATATTTACTTTAATTTGATTTTGAGCAGAATAAGAGAAGAGTGTATCTCTTTCCCTTTGGGTAAAAGTCAACTATAAGTAGGGCTTTGGGTGGAAGGAGGAAGTAGGGACAGGGCAATACCCAGTAGTTTTGGGGTTTTTTTCCTGCTATCTCTTAGTAAGTGGTAGCTACTCTAGAATATTCTATTAATCATTGAGAAAATATTGTTCTATAAGGCATCATATGACTAAGACTACAGTTCCTAAGGGGAAAGGGAGTGAGAAGTGGAAGACTAGGTAGGAGGGAAGAATCAGAGGTGGGGAAGAGATGAATTATTTTCCTGCACCTCGTCTAATCCCATCTCAAGTCCTTTATGTAATGTAAGGGACAAAATCATTGATAATGAATATGCTCATTAAATATTTTATACTCTGATATATGGTAGTACCAATCTGGTAGAAAACCCTCTTTTGAAGTTTGTCCCAGTCAAGAGATGCCAGTGTAAAAAAACATTGCTATCTTTCTGTTAAAAAAACAAAGTGGAAGGCGTAGTTATGATTTGATCTGCGCACAATGAATTCGTTTTCATACAATACTTTTCTGCCTGATATTAATTGTTCTGTTGGATGGCTTGTTTTTGGAGACCTCTGGTGGTCAATAAAATAGTAGAAACAATATTTGTGAGTTTAAAAACATGTAATGATAAAAAGAGAACTTCATTAGTGTATGTTGACCAACCTAATATATAGAAACTTTCTAGAGTTCTTACACATGTATAAATGTGAGCATTTTACTCAAAGACTGGATAGAAGGAATACATAAATGGTATTTGAAGGTATATTTCTAAAAGTTTACAACACCTGCATTATGCAGTTATCCATAGTATTTTTTTAAATGATATTTGAAAATTTCAGATCTTTTACTCCTGTAAACCTGGGTAGTATAAATGAGAAAAGGGTATTGTGTTCTAAGATAAGCATAACTGAAGTCTACGGCTGTTTGGGAAAAAATTTATTTTGTTTAAAAGGCCATTTTTCCCTTATCATATATGCAACCTAATTTATTAATATTTAAATGTTAAAAAAGTTATGAGCATTTTATGAAGATTTTATATTTTAATGTGTCCTTTAAAATATTATGTTTTCATGTTAGTGTCATCTAGATATAGAAAATTACATATATTCTATTCATTTTAATCAAAATGACAAAATATTACTCATTTTGGAAGAAAATGTTTTGATTTCTCAAAGAAATAGCATGAAGAATACATATGGAACAACTAACCCTAATCAGTGTAGTTTTTAATTTACAATGCCAGTCATTCAAAAGGGTTAGAATATTGAATTTAGGAGATATGTCCATTGAAAGAATTAACAAAAATCAGTATTTAATACAAGGGTACTTCAAAAAGTTCATGAAAAGATTCATATTATCTTTTAATTCTATTTTTCCATGAACTTTTTTTGAAGTACTCTCACACCCTATTGTGAAATTCAAGCCATTAACCTATATAGCACAATGGTGATATATCATTCTTATACTTAATTACTGTAATCTGGGCACTTAAGGAGGCAGCTTTCAAAACAGTTATATCAGATTTCTAAAGTTATATTGGAATTTGAACACAATAAATTTTCTCATTGATATTTTAGGGCAAATATTTATAATGCGTAATTTAGGGTTTTTTTAAATAGGGCAAAAATATGTTTAATTATTAAAAATAACCAAACCAATTATGCAACCTGTTTTTCCACCACATTTATAGATAAAGAAGCTTAGGTCATTTCAGCAGATAGATATTAAAGTAATCTGTTTCACAATGCTCAACTGTCATATCACAAAAATTGAGGCCTCTCCACAAAACGAAAGTAAACAAATGTTTAACTTGCATTATGATGGAGTAGCTGAGCTAATATGAGAATATACAGCAAATAAACAATAACTGAATTCTTTCTTTTATTATAGTTAATCCCAATCTGTCAAAAATAAATATTTTTTAAGTAAGCAATTAGTAATTGAAATTGTTAGGGGTTTCCAGAAGGAATTAGATCATCATAAATTACTTGTGTCAAGACCAAAATATTGAAGACAATTGAGGCATTAAGTGACTTCCTGATTAAGACTCATTGAGAGGGTCATATGGTACTATAAAGACTCCTTGCCTCTTAGCACTTCACGGTTGATTTTTCTCCAGGTGAATTATTGATCATCTAGTTTGATCTCCCTTTGCTGCCACCATAAGGGTTAAGTGGGAACCGGTTAGGGCTGAGTACGGAAAGGTGTGAGTGTGAGTCTGAGCAGGGTCTGGCAATCAGTGTCTCTGACTACATTACCAAGCCAGGCCTAGAGGAAATAACTTCTGAGAGGAGCACTGTATATCTCTATTGAATTAAGACATGAAAACACATAAAGTAACCCACAAAAAAGGAAGAAAAGTTGTTATTGTATAAATTAAGTTGTTCTTTTTTTTCATTATAGACTCAGTGTACACAGAACGTTACATGGGTCTCCCAACTTCAGATGACAACCTTGACCGTTACAAGGTAAGACGAAGAACTACACCCATTTTATAACCTATTTATAAGTGGTTTAAGAACCTTTTGAAGTGTATCTATTCTAGAAAATATATATTTTTTATTTCCAACAAAAATTTTGTTAAAAAGAAATAACACAGGTGGTTTAGAGATACTCCAATAGCTTCCCCTACTGTATTCTGCATAATTACAGTCTTTATCGTATGCTATATAGGTCACAATATGCATTCATTTGGAAATACAAAGCAACATCAGATAATTACTTTAATTATAAAAATTTCAATTTAGAAAACATGTCAAGTTCAACATATTTCTTTATAGCCCAGAAGACTCTCTAAATCTTTTAGCTGTATATTAAAATTTCTTATGATGTTATCATGATTAACATGTATGTACAAGCTTGAATTCTCTTACTTATAGCTAAATATGTAGTTTTTGGGGGTTTTTTAGACAAGATTTGAGTAAAGCAGATGAGGGGTAGGTATAGTTGGGCAGTACCCTGAAAAGCCCTGAACCCAAATTACTGAATAGCATCCAACAGGCTGATTGCCTGATGGGAAAACTAGTAGGCAGGTTGCTGTGCTGATGGGCTATGGCATTTGAAATATGGTCTGGGTGCAACTCTCATTGACAGCTTCAATGTGCTGGTGTGGGTGCCATGGCAAAGCCAGAACATTTTCTTTGGGGCCACACTGATACAGCTGGAAGTGCTAGCATAAGTACTGGGGACCGTTCTATAGCACTTTGATCCTTCCAAAACTTTCCTGATTCTACTTGTCACGTTGCGGGGGTAGGTACGGGAAACTCCTAACACTTAAAGAGAATAAGGTAAATCATCTCTGATGTTTGCATTCTCCAAAAGATGTTCAAATTTCTTCCCAGGGCAATGAATGAAAAAGAAAGAAAGACAGCAAGAATAATTTAAGAGCATAATTTCTCCTCATCTGAGTCATGACTCTCAATACATAGGCTTCATATTAATACTTATACATTGCTTTGAGCGAAATTTGTACATTTTTGTGAGATGTCATCATTATTGCTATGGATTCTGAAGCCGTCTGATCGAAACACAATAAATATCAAATTTTGCAGTTCTGTAAGATAAGTATAGACAATTTAGTTTTACCTGGTTTTTTTTGTTTGACTTTTTTTTTTTCCCTGCTTAATTAGCAAGGTTTGTGTAGGCGCTCAGGGAGGGGTGGTGGTGGAGTGCTTGTGTTAATGCCTGCATGTATGTTTTCATCTCTGTTTTCCAGTCAAGATAGAAAAGTAACAACCTGCAGAGTGAGGTGTACAAATCATCTTTCTCTACAAAGCAGTCCCATAACCAGGTTGTCCCCATTTCTGCTAATAGTCCCATCTGATATTTTAATTGAAATTTCTTTGCTTTTTGGCAGCTGGCCAATACAAGGATCAAACCCTGGACCTTGGTGTTATGATACTTTGGACTCGATTCTTCCCACTGTCTCTCCTCCACATTCCATAAACTGCCTTAGACATTCTCTCCCTTCTGCATAATCACATTGCTGCTATCACATGACCTATCTCCTTTTACGACAGTAACCCAATTTGTCTGCCCTAAATTTGTCTTTCCACATTCCAGTCTGTTCCATGCATAGCTGGGAGATTAAATCCCACCCACAGCCCTTTACTGGTCCTTTCCTGTGTACTCAGCGTAAGTCCAGTCTTCTCTCTTTGCTTTCAGCACCCTCCTCATGATGGCCAGTTTATCTGGGAGGCTGCTGTCGTCCCCTGAGTGTTTCTGAGGCGTTCCATTCTGTGCCTTCACACTCTGTTCCTCCTACCTGGAGTGTAATTTCCCCTCCATCTCCACCTGTTAGGAAACTTGCACTGCCCCCTAGTAGAGTAGCGGCTCCTTTTGAATCCCACGACGTTTTCTTTGGGTATGTCTTAATCTTCATTACATTCTATCTTGAACTAACAGTTGTTTTGTACAGGATTTTCCCCTGGGCTGTGCTGGTAGCTGCTATTCCTCAACATGGTATTCTTTGGATTCCCCTGTAGGAAGTGTAAATCTTAAAACCTTTATTGATTTAATTTAAAAACTTTTTGAAGGGAAACATTGTTACACAAGTTGAATTTCTCCATCACTTTTCTCATTTTACAGTTTTAATTTTCTTGTTAATGACCCAACCAGAATGCTTAAGTTTGATTGTCAACGGGCTTTCTAAGATATCCCAATGTACTAAAAGCTCCTGAAATATTGGAGGTACACTGCCCAAGAGTCTAAACCCTGACTCAGGTACATGGTGGATGAGTCAGAAAGTTCGTTTTGAAAATCCCATTCTAAAATGTCTTTGAACCTAGAAGCACAGGGTCAAGTTCAAACCTCGACATCTAAGGAAATCCGTGGCAGCTACCCTACTTTCTCAGAGAACATCAGCCAACAGGATATTTCCTCTTCAACCAGCCCTCCCATATAATTATATAGTTTTAACTGCCACTTTACTGGCATCTTTTTCCAGTCTTTCCTATAGAATCCTCTTTCCCACATGGATCCCCACTTTCCCCAACTCTACCCCCCACTGTGGTGGTCATTTTCATCTCTCCCTTTAGGTGTTCGCCACATGAGGTAGTCGTGTAAATAGAAGTCACTTCCTACTGCCAATGGCAACACACGCACACTGGGTGCACAAAGTCACTCTTTCACTTCACTGCACAGATGGTACCCGAGGACTGTTTAATCCTTCCACGCCAGGAGTCGGGTTTTCTTGGAACAAAATTCATTGCTGGCAATGGACACATTACAACTGCCAGTATCAGGGAGCTAAAGGTTCCCAATGTGTTACTCAGAGGAATTATTTGGGAGGGTGATAGTTAAGGTGGGCAGGAGAAAGGGAGGCAAATGCATTAGCTGAATTGTCTCCACCGTGGTAAGCTGCTTCCTCCAAATGTGGAGAACTGAATCTATGTGGAGAACTGAATCTTAGTGCCTATTTTTGGTGCACAGCAGGCTTTAGAATAAAGCTGCCCTCCTTTGTTTTTTAAATGAGCCTGTGCTTTTGTCTCTGGCAAGAATACATTCGAAGTTTCTATTTTCCTCCAAGGCCCCAGCTGCCCCTCTGGACCTCCCATCTTTTACTTTTCTTTCCCAGGTTGTTTTTCTTTTTTCCTCTTTCTCTGTCTCTCCCCCACACCCCCCATTCTCTCCCTACCTCCTTCTCCCCCTCTTTGAAAAAACAAAAAAGACAATTCCTTAGAGGCTTTCACTACCCTGTGCATTTCAGTGGGTCAGAAGGAAATATTTTGAAAATAATTCACATTTAGTCTGGACCAGTGACTCTCATCAGTACATTGAGGATTAGGAATGCCCAAAATGTGTAAGGCCTTGATCTTTGTCCATGTTTTCAGCTAAAGAACCATTGATATAGTAGCCAGAATTATAGCCTTTGGAAGATAATTAATTTTTAATAAAATCAAATGAGAAAAGGATTCATTATTAGGTCATTGATGACTTGGATTTAGAAGAATTTAGAGATGCCCACATCACCAACAGAAGCACAACTTGTGAAATAAAGGTCCAACTTACCAAAGTCGGAAATTGGTAGGAAAGGGAATTAGACAGACCACGAGTATACGTGAATGGAATAGGCAGGGATGCCACGTGTGGTTGTTCAGCTTGTGCACTGCTGAAAGCTAGTCCACACTGCATTTGTTACGACATGCACTTGTGAGGCTGCATCCAACCAGAGGCAGTTCCCTTTCCTGTTCTTTCAAAGCTGCCATATAAATTAGGGGACCCTGGGACTAAGGCTTAGGCCCAATGCAATGACACAAGCAGTAACTCCATAAGACTCTTTTGGGGGATAATCACTCACATACTGCCAGGTGGCAAGGCAACAGCACTTTTAAAAGATACCAGGAACTCCAGAAGACATTCATTTCCCTAAAACTCCAAAGAGCTGGTCCCAGACACTCTGAATGAGCATCCAAAGTGCAGAGGTGACAAATCTGAGCTAATGGGCAGTGTAGCTCTGTGGAAACATCTTTTCTGCAGTGAGTCCTCATAGCAGACAGAAATGGGACGGATTTGAGCAAAAGAATCAGATATCCAGGGAGACAACCCTCATGACCAATAGCAATAAGCAAATAGCAACCTCGAGGGGTGGGGTCCTGACTAACACTGATAAATGGTCTCTCACACGGTCAATCATAGATAGGTCTCTGATCAAACCTGTGAAAAATATTAACATGTGGTACACTTTCATTCACCCATTCAAGATGCCTGGTGTTTTCATTGTTTAGAAGTTTATTGCTTGTCAGTGAGAATAAACAAGATTTTTGGAAAGACATAAAAGAGAGTAGGTAACAAAATATAAACTTGAGTTGACAAAGTAGCCGATATGTAGGAAAAAGACTAGTGGTTTCCAAATTGTGACTGTGGAGCCCCAGGAATTCTGTATCGTGGGAGCCTGTGGGGAGGGGGACAGGAGTGGCCAAGAAGTTAGGGTTTCACCTTCCCACCACCTGAGCTGATCTAGTTTCATTTCATTTATTTTTTTCATTCATTTATTAAGTGCTTCTACAGCCAGCACTATTCTAAGCTCTTTACATGCATTATCAGATTTAATTATCCCCCAAATACTATGAGATAAGTACTCTAATTATTGCCATTTTACTGACACAGAAACCGAGGCACAAAAACGTTATGTAACATATAGACACTGAGGGGTAGGAAAGTCACAGGACACTTATCAGAACCCATTAGAAAAAGATTTAGGAAGATGGAGAGGAAGAGCATAGATGCTCCCAATAGGTTACCCAGAGGGGAAAAGCAGCTTGGTGCACGAATGAGTAGCAAGTGGAATGTTTTCCGGGGCTCTGTGAAGCAGGTCCGATGAACCGAGGGTAACACAGAAGGGCTGAGGGAGGAGCAGGTGAAAGGGTGGCCAGTCCAGCAGGACATAAGCCCGGGGAGGGAATGATGTATGAATACACACAGAGAGAAGCATAAGATCAAGGGCAAGAGAAAGGGGGCCCAAGTCCCG